GGTCTCATAGTCTGTCTTTTCATTTCTGGTTGGGGAGCAGAGCTGGTAACAACAGGCCTAGCCACCATGCTTGGCTGTTTCTCAGGGTAAGGAAGACTAGGTTCTGTTAGGCTGCTAGGCTAGCCTTGAGTCTGGGCTCAAACACTTGATGAAAATAAAGTATACATGCAATCATGTTAGCCTTCAAAGCATTCATTTTTTTCTCAATAAAAAAAAATAAACCAGCTTCATTTTATATAATCTACCTTTAAAACCCCTGCAGTAATTTTATCAAATAAAATGAAAAAGTGAAATGTCTACGTCAGTGCCATCCCAGAATTGGGAAATGAAGAAAGGTGGATTATGAGTTTGAGGCCAGCCTGGGCTACATAGCAAGGCTCTGTCTCCAAAACAACAAACATAGGGGCTGGAGAAGAACTCAGTCACTAAAGTACTTGTCAGGCAAGCATGAGGGCCTGAGTTTGGTACCCAGATTCGACATAAGAAAGTGGCATTGGTAGCACATGTTTGTTTATAAGTCAGACAGCTCTTTGAAGCTAGCTAGTCAGTCAGCCTAGCCTACTTGGCCTATTTGGCATATTCCTTTTGAGACAAAAGCTCACTTTGTAGCCCTGACTGTTCTGAAACTCAGCTTAGGTAGACCAGGCTGGCTTCAAACTCAAAGAGATCCATCTGCCTCTCCCTTCTGAGTGCTGTGATTAAAGGTATGCATGACTATCTAGAGAAGCCGTCTTAAAAAAAACAAGGAATGATTGCCACTGTTGTTCTCTGGCATCTTCATGTGTGTACATGCATGCAGGGACACATACAGACATGAGTACTCATGAACATACATAAGCACAAAGAATACCTAGAATTAACACAACTGTAATTAAGAGTTAGAAGTAACATAGCCTCAGTACTGGGACAGCTGATGCAGGAAAGTCTCAAATTCTAGGCTAGTTTAGTTTATATAGCACGATTTAGGCTAACTGTGGCTATACAGTGAGAAATGTCTCAGCTACTTTCCGACCCCCCCAAAATTTGTTTTGAATGCTAAAACTGAATTGGGTTGAATGTAATGAATCAGTTGCTGTACCACTAAATTATATCACAGCCACTAAACCTCATCTATATTAGCTTGTAATGTATGGAAGTCTTAAAGAGGAGGAGCTAGAGAGATTGCTCAGTGGTTGAGAGCTCTTGCTGCCCATGGAGGGGACCCCAGTTTGTTTCCCAGCACCCACATTGTGACTCTCAACCATTGTAACTCAGTTCTAGGAAATCCAACACCTTTTGACTTATATGGGCACCAAGTCTGCATGTGATGCACATACGTGCAGGCACAATACACATACACATGCAAAAATACTTAAAGAGAAATTTTAAAAGGAAAAAAACCCATAAAGTTACTCAGATTATAGCTTAATTATAGATTATAGATTATTAAGATATCCTTAAGCTTCTTGTTCTTCTGTCTTGGCCTCGTGGATAGCTGGGATTACAGGCCTGATTCCAGTCAGATTCTGGACGGCCATCCAAGTGGATTCATGGACAGCCCAGCAGCACTTGGCTTTTACCTCAGTCTGTGGTCTACTTAGAATCACAGGATTGTGAGATAATAGTGCCCCATTCTTCTCATTCATGTCTAATTCTAGAAGATAAGGAAGTGAAACCCTGCCTTCTTCATAGTAAAATGTAGCTTATTAGGGACAATGTAGGGCATCATCATACCAGGTAACTTGTCTGTTTTGGTTAGTGAGGAATGTTAATAGTGTTGTGTTACTCTTTTTTGTTTTCCAAGACAGGATCTCAATGTGTAGTTTTGGCTGTCCTGGAACTCACTATGTAGACTAGGCTAGCTTTGAACTCACAGTTTCCTTTGCCTCCTAAATACTGGGATTAAAGGCATGCACAACTATGCCCGGAAGCCCTTGAGTTACCCTTGCAGAACATGGTTTTTGTTATTTTGAGACAAATTCATACTGTAGAGCCCAAGTGCTGGTGTTACAGGCTAAAACCAACAGAATTTATGGAGTCTGATGCTTAAGAGAGCCTACCTGGTTCCTTCTCTCCCTTCTGCCTTTCATCTCCCCCGCCCCCATCCCACATGTACTTGCTGTCGATATCGTAGGCTGCCTTACAGTTGGAAGCCCTCCCACCTTGGCTTTCTTAGTGTTGAAAGGCGCCATGCACTGCTGTCCAGGAGCCTTGGGAAGGTCATTGCAGACTAGCTATTCTTAGAGCAGAACAGAGGGTGGGGCAACTTCTTAAGAGTGTCTTGAATACCAGGTTGGCCTGGAACTTACTACTGTGTAGCCAAGAATGACCTTGAACTTCTGATCCTTCTGACTCTACCTCAAATGCTAGGATTACAGATGGGTGCCAGCATGTTTAGGTCACATGGTGCTGGAAATCAAACCCATCTAGGCATGCTACCAGCTGAGTTGTGTCACAGCCCCTGGATACAGTTGTGTTGGAACCACAACTTTCAGGTTAGATCTAACACTTTGATAGTGTCTGTGCACGGCCAGAAACTAGTTAAAGAGGTGGATAATCTCAAGGGTAGCCTGGGCTAGCTAGTGTGGGTAACAATGTAAAGGCTTTCCAGATGGAAGAGAGACCAGGCAGCACTGAGCAAGATGCTGCTTCAGGACAAAACGAGGTCATTTTCAGTGTCTTAGGTTTGGAACCACCCTTTATAAAACCAATCGAAATATTGATAATAGTTACTTTAAAACTTGCATGTTTCTGAGCTTGGCCTTTTGGGCTTTTCACAGCTCACTGCTGGTTGAAAGTAGATTTTCACTGTGCTATCTGGTCCCAATTTCCATCTGCCAGGAGTATCCTAGGTATGCTTTGCTTTCAGATATAACTTCAGTTGGTTGCAGCAGCACAGCTGGGCAGGTTGCCTTAGCTCAGGAGGGTTCCCACAGCTTAACGATTTGGTTTATTCTTATAGGTGTACAGTCGTATGGTCAGTGTGGAAAACCTGTGGGGTTGTCTTAGTTTCACCTGGAGGTTTTATGCTGTGTGATAGAGCTTTTACAGATGTTTTAAAGTGTGTTCCATGTTTCATTGTATGTTCTTGTATTATAGACCTGAAAAATGTCTGAAAGTTCCAGTGACAGTGACTCATCTTGTGGCTGGACTGTCATCAATCATGAGGTATGTTCTCCGATACGTTGTTAGCAGTGACAGAAACTACTTTATGAAGGTTGGAGTTTTCTCGGTAAGCATACCTTCCTTTGTTTATAGTTGGCTGTTTTTCTACCCATATTAAATTTGGCTGCTAAATACCATTGAGCTACATACAGCCCTAGTCTTTTTTTTTTTTTTTAAAGCAAACAAAACTTTGATATAGGGTCTTAATAAGTTGCTCTCGCTGGTCTTGGAGTCAGTGTGCAGCTCACGCTGATCTTCCTGAACTTGGAATCCTCCTGCCTCTGCCTCCTCAGGCTGGGCTGATAGACTTGTGTCAGCATACCCAGGGTGTGGGGTTTTTGATTGTTTTGAGATATTAAAGTCTCACTGAGTAGCCATGGCTGGCCAGAACTGGCCTCACATTCACAGCAGTTCTTCCAAGAGCTGGAATTATAGGTGCGTGCTAGTATAGCTGGCTTTTGTTTTGTTTTTGAGAAAATCTCTTTCTGAAACGTAGGCTGGCCTAAAACTCAAGGCAGCCCTCCTGCCTCAGCCTCCCAGGTAGGGATTAGAGGCATGAACCATCTCCACCCCCACTCCCCTTCTTTTAATGAAGTGCAGAACTTAATAAGAGAAAAAAAAATATGTTTTAGATTTACATGTGTGGAGGACAGCAGTTTTTCATAATCAAGAGTAAGTGTGAACTTCCCCAGAGAATAGCATCCAGGATTTTGGGTACTTCTTAAAACCATATAAGGAATCTTCTACATTATTCTAGCTAACTTCCTTAACTTTGAGGAGCTGAACTCAAAGTTATTTGTCAGGTGGTGTCTGGTACAACTACATTCTTCTTCTTTTGTAATTTTTAAAGACCTTCTTTGTGGCACTTTTCTTTTTCATGTCTTTTTTGGGTGTGTGTAGGGAGGGAAGATCAGTGTCTTACGGTGTAACTAGGATAGCCTCTATCCAAATTACCACACAGCACAGGCTTTACCTCCAACTTTGGATTCTTCTGCCTCGCTTTCTGAACAACTGGAATAAAGGCATGTATCTGGTTGTCTTCTTTGTTGTTGAGGATAGTGTCAGATTATCTGGGACTGGAGGTACAGATGTTTGTGAACCACCATATACGTGCTGGGAACTGAACCTGGGTCTCTGGAAGAGCAACCAGTGTCCTAAACCACTGAGCCATTTCTCCAGCCCCATCAACCTTCATTTTGTTTTTGGAGACAGGGTACAGTCGTGGCTGGGATGTAGCCTACTACATGGTTCAGGCTGCTTTGAACTTGAAACCAGTTTCGTAGTGAGGAACTATGCACATACAGTGTATGGTGTAACTAGAACGTTATACATGCTGATGCATTTTCTCACTTTGCTGATTGTTTTCAATACAGAAAAGTCATAGGAACAGAAACCATAGCATCAGGCCAACCTTGCTTATTTAGAGTTTGAGTAGCTGATCAAAAGTTTCTTGTTTGTATTTAGGATTTTGTGTTTCCTACTTCATGTGATTTGATTGATTGATTGAGTGATTGATTGATTTTGAGACAGGTTCCCAATGTAGCCCAGTGTGGGCTTAAATTCATTATGTAACCCATGCTGCCCTCCAAATGGAAGTCTTCTGCCCCATCTCCCAAGTGCTTGTGTTATGGGCATTTACCATAACTGCTGCTTGATGTATACATGGTGTACAGAAATAATTATTAAAATAAATAAATAATTAAAGGTTTAGAACAGTTTGTTAGTCATGTGTTTTACAAAACAGCATCAATCAAAATAGGAGGTCAGTGAGATGGCTCAGTGCTGTGCAAGCCTGACTTCCTGAGGCGGATCCTTGGAACTCACATGGTAGAAGGAGAAAGCCCACTCTCCCAAGTTGTCCTCTGGCCTCACATACCACGTGTGTGCAGGGCCTGAGAATGCTAAAACAGGGTGAAGGGATTGGAGTTCAGTTGTGAGCCATCCATCATGTGGATACTGGGAATCAAACCTGGGTCCTGGAAACACAACTGCTCTTAACTACTGAGCCCATAGTGCAGACAGTTAGGACTCAGGGTCTGGCTTTTAGTCTCATCAGATCGAACACTCACCCTGTGCTCACCTGACACTGACTTGAAGTCTATGGCTCTATATTGCAGTTTTCCTCCTGCAGGCCTGTATAGACGGAGTTGAACAAAGCCAGTCAGGATAGATATTGTTTACAGTGTGGCAGCATCAGGAACTTTCTACATATCATGAGTCAAATCCAGCCTTAGGGAGGCAGTAGCTAAATTAATAATTACCACCTTCCTCTAGGGTTCTGACATAGAGATCGTGAATTCTGCCACAGCCAGTGACAACTGTGAACTGACTCTAGAATGTTCCTCATTAGAACAAGAGGTGCTGCAAGTTCTTTATGTGGAGCATGGAGGTGGAGGTAAGTTAACTTCCCTTTTTGTTTTGTTTTGTTTTTCTTCTGGAGATGGGGGTATCATCCTTGATTGCCATTGGAATGGTCTTATCCCAGATGTACAGTGGACTTGTTTAAGTTGAAAACCTGCCAGCAAGTGTCTGAGAATAGCTAGAAGTCTGCTGACACCTGAGAGCTTGTAATGAGTTACATTCCCTGTGTGAAATTGTCCCTTCACACTTACAAGTAATTAAATTTGTTAGCAAGAGCAGAGGGACTGATGATATGTAGGCTACACAATTAAAGTGTTTTCAATAAAAGAAATAATGATATCAATTTTGGTTTTATACCAGAAAGCCGCGCAAACAGCATGTCATCAGTGGGAGAAACCATGTTGTCATCAATGAGAGAAACTGAGTCAGCAATTGAGGTAAACTTTTATTCTGTTCTATGGATGTTTGATAAGCACTGTCTTCCTGTTTATAGCTAAGCATTCTTTTTCTACTTAAATTATAAGAAAATCTAGTGAAAATAATCAGTCAGTTTTAAGGTTAAAGCAAATTTCTTTTGGGTTTCAGAACAGAACTCTAAGCAAGAGTCTACCCAGGTCACCCTCACAGCCCTGACTGACTAGAAGATGAGTAACTGTTCTGATTTAGCTAGCTTATCTGTTAGTTTAATCTATTTAACCATTTTAAGAATAGTTTAAACTAGTCTTTTAATCTACATTGTGATTATTTTTGGAAGTAGACTTTATTGTTGAATTTAGAATTTACTGAGTGAATGTCTAAAATGAAGGTTAGCTTTTACATTTGATAACAAGTTAAATATTGTCTGTTGCGGCTGTCTTCTGAATAAAAGAAGGGTTAGGGTTATACTTGGGTTATATATTATACTTGGCTGCATAATCTTTCCATGGTATTTTAGTCCCTTCCTGCTGAGAATGGGTGACATAAAGAATAATTTTTTTCTAGAAGGGCCTGGAGAGATGGCTCAGTGGCTACGGATACCTGTTACTCAATCATAAGGACCTTAGTTCAGATCTCAGCACACATGGAATAAGCTGGGTGTCCTGCAAACACTTGTAACATCAGCTCTATGGATCTGATGCCCTCTTGTGGCCTCTGCACAGATAGACATGTGCATAAATTTAACCAGATACAAAAGTAAATAAATCTTTAGTGTTGATGAGGTGGTTCAGCGGCTGGAGAGGTCTTGCTGTCAAGTAAGTTATTAAAAATAGTTTATTTTTGGAGGCTGGGAAGTCTAAGAAGAAGGTGCTAATAACTAGTTTGGTGTGTGTGCATTGTACCTTTTTGCCACATTCTCTGTAGGGAAAAAAAATGCAATGTCCTTGGATGACAGAGGAAGGAAATGGCCAAATGGCACTGTGCTGTGTGCCTCTCAAACGGCACCCTCCTCATCTCCGCAGAGCTCTTTGAGTTTTCATGGTTGTGGTTGGGATTTTGGTTTTTGTTTTGTTTTGTTTTCAGGGTCTTTCTACATAGCTTTGGCTGTCCTGGAACTCAGTATGTAGACCAGGCTGGCCTCCAACTACTGAGGTACCTGAGTGCTGAGATTGAAGGCAGGTGCTAGCCCAAGTTTTAGTGGATTTTAGGGACATATTCAGACTGTAGTACATAGTCTAGCTGTTGAATTAGTCTGTCACATACTCCCTGGAGGTAATACTCTGTGCCAACAAACTCGGCACTGCTGAAGTAAGTGAATTCTTGGTGTCCTATGGGCATAGTAGGGCTGGGCAGTCTCTTCAGCTTCTGAAGCACAGTGGGAGGAGTCACTCATCTAATTCGTAGCATTATGGATGGCCTTGAGGTCTCCAGCCTAAAGAAAGTGAACCTGTGATTGCATAATCCTTTACTGTTGGATAGAAATCATGTCTTTAAGGGCTAGGGGAGGTGTCCAATGGTAGACCTGAAGCACTGTATGCACAAGACCCTAGGCTCCATCCCCAGTTTTGAAAAGAAAAGGGAAGGGGAGCAAACACAAAAAGAATGAAACTAGGTGTTATATATTTTGAATGGTGAAAATTTAAGACTAAAATTACTGAGCTTACTGCCTGCAAAATTTGATTTTGTAGGTGGAGGAAGCAACTTCTCCTGAAGACAATGTCTATTTCGGAACTACTAGTGATGATTCGGATATTGTTACACTTGAACCACCTAAGCTGGAAGAAATGGGGATCCAGGAAGCTACAAATATTCAAGAAGCCCCCAGCTCAGATGACCTTAACATGGGTTCTTCCTCCAGCAGCCAGTACACCTTCTGCCAGCCTGAGCCCGGTATGGAGCTGTTGCAGGAGGGAGCCTCTGACAGCTTACTTAATGGCTTGTTCTCTAACTCCAGCTCACAGCTTGTAAAACATTGCTCTGAAACTCAAAATCTTGATCAAATTTGTTACAGTGGTTTCCTGGCCTTATGGAAGCTCAGTGTTCTTTCTCTGACACCTTCCCCCCCCTCCCCCCGCCCCCCTTCGCCGCCTCCCGCCCCCCCCCCCCCGGTGGCTGTGTGTGTGTGCCCCTGTGTGTGTGTGTGTGTGTGTGTGTGTGTGTGTGTCTGTTTTTAGGGGACTGAACCCCAGATACTGCACATGCTAAGTGAGCAGTCTGCTTCATTCATTTTATTAAAGTCTCAAGTCCTCAAAAGGTGCATTTGTCTTTTAATATCTGATTGATTGATTGAGGTATAGCAGAGCTCTGTGACTCTGGCTGTTTTTATTATACTCACTGTGTAGTGCAGGCTTTGCCTCAGTCTTGGCAGCAGTTCTACATGCATGTGCCACCATTCCCAACTTCCACATTCTTTTTCAAGGTGGGGTTTCTCTGTGTATCCCTGGCTGCCCTGGAACTTGCTCTGAAGACCAGGCTGACCTTGAACTCAGAGATCTGCCTACATCTGCCTCTTGAGTGCTGGGATTAAAGACCTGTGCTGCCACCACTCAGCCTCTTCTACAATTCTTAACCTCTGACTTCTGAGTATGTAGTATCTTTCAATGTGATACAAAATACTTAGACATAAAGTTCCTGGAAAACGTTAAAGGAGAAGTCTGAAGCTAACTCAGTTATTACTTAACTCACAGTGATAATTTAAAGATGGCGTGTGGAGTCCTGTGACTCCATTTAGAACTGCTGTTTTACTCTTTTCCCAATCTGATGAAAAGCCAAGAATATTATAGTTGGGATTCGCTCCTTACATTTTTCCATTCTTTTAATAACTTGTATACATTTGGCAGTCAGAATCAAACAGTATTTCTCATTTCAATTTAAGGTAATAAGATGCCACTTTGTGTTTCTTGGCTTTTTTGTTGGTTTGCTCTGGGATAGTATCTCTTGAGTTCACATTGTCCTGGACCTTACTGTGTAGCCTTGACTAACCTTGGATTTGTGACAGTCTGCCTGCTTCAGCTGGGATTATGTCACAAAACACCCACATCCTTTGTCTCCACATAACACTCGTGTCTGACACATGAGTACTGTGTAAGTTGTTGGAGAATGGTAATAAGAAGTCTGTATATGTTCAGAGCAGAAGGAATGTCTTCTGAATATTTTTAGTCCATCCTTTGTTGAGCTGAGATACAGATGCGTGACTGTATTTACAAAAAGTTGGTACAGTTGACCTTGGAATTCAGTAAGTACCCAGAGGTCAAGGCCTTCCCACACTCAGGTGCAGTCAGGTTCCTTTTGAGTTTTATAATTCCATCATGTTCAGTTTTCTTCATTTTGATATACTTATCCATTTAAATTGTCTGCCTCTGGCTTAAGAAGCATGAACTCAGGAAGGAGTGCAGCCGAAGGGAGCAATGAAAGATCAGCACACATTGTTGATGGGAATTGCACCCAAAAGCCCAGGATTCTGGCTTGATCTCCTCTTTGAAAGATCTAAGAATGTTTCAGAATTAATTAACAGAAATATTAGAGAGAGAGAGAGAGAGAGAGAGAGAGAGAGAGAGAGAGAGAGACAGAGACAGAGAGAAAAAGACAGAGCAGAGAAAGACAGAGACAGACAGAGGGTGGGGGGTAATTTGATGTATCCTTTGCTGGCCTGGAATTTGCTATAGACCAGGTTGGCCTCAAATTCATAGAGATTGATTTGTCTCTGTTTCTTGAGTGCTGGGATCAGGTGTGTGTGGCCATGCCCAATTTAAGCATATTTTTTAACCTTTTGCAATCCATCCCATCAAAATTGCTTGTATAAAACCAAAAAAACCAAAACAACAACAAAACAAAACAAAACAAAACAAAAAAAACCAAAAATGCTGGGCAGTGGTGGCACACGCCTTTAATCCCAGCACTTGGGAGGCAGAGGCCTCCCAAGTTTGAGGCCAGCCTGGTCTACAGAGTGAGTTCCAGGACAGCCAAGGCTACACAGAGAAACCCTGTCTCGAAAAACAAAAAAACAAAACAACAACAAAAAAATTGCTTATATAAAGACAATGTTTAAAAATGATTAAATTTTCCTGGGTGGCGGGGGGGGGGGGATGTAAATAAAACATCCAATTTAAAAAAAAAAGATTAAGTTTTGAGCCACACTGAAAAAGCTACACAGCCAGACATTATGGTTTAAGAAAACTCCTGCCTTCTATTGGTCCACCCTCCCACCCCAAAGGCGAACTGCTGTAGTGAAGTTCATGCTGTGTATGTTTCTAGAGAGACGTCATTGGATTTTAATCTTACAGAGATAACAGTGTTAACTGGTAAAAGTTGTATTTTTAGTTTCTTTCCTTTACTATTTATAATGAAGCTTACACATCTTCTTTCCTATTTATTCACAAAAGAAAGGTGGTGGGAGAAGCTGTGGAAGATCTCTGAATGCATAAGGGGATGGGATGATCAGCTGAGACTCCGTGTTCCTAGCCAGCTCGCTCTCCAAGGTGGCGTGACGGACGCTGAGCTGAGCGGCTTCCTGAGCTGGGCTAGTCACATTTACTATTGAAAGGCTGAGTGCTCTGCAGTCTTGATCCAAAAGATCATAAACAGGCTGGCTAGGCTTACTGCATGCCTCTGCATTGCTTGCTGCTTAGACTGTGGGCCAAATTATGCTGTACAGAAAATTTAGAAATCCAGATATTTTCACCATTACATATATAAGTTAAAGATAGAAGCATTAGGCAGTTGATGACTATTAATATCTATGGGGTGGTTTGTACATAAATATGAAGGCAATATGCATTGTAGGTTTGGAGACATTTTTAAGAGGTTTGGAGAAAAGTTTGCTTTTATATTCACTTACTGTCCTTCTGTCAGAAAGTATTAGTTCAATATCCCAGCCGTGAGCTGGATGCCTTTATATCATGTGATGCTTGGTTTAAGTCTTCCTCTTTCTCTTTATCTAAGAAACGTATCTCACAGCTGAGGCAATGGCATCCTGGGGAAACTAGTGATCAAGAATAACCAGACACATGCAGGGCATGAGGAGTATGAGGTCACGACACAGTGACCTCTCAGTGGTTCCCATGTCACTAAGCATTAGGATATGTGTTCATTTTAGTATTGATGGTGTCTCTGTTGACATGTGACCATGGACTACATTCTCCACGCTTGATCTTTAGAAAGCAATGCCTGATGTAGACACCAGCTTTCCTGTGGCATGGACAGCATGTTTTCTAAAAGACTTGCATTTTTGGTTGCATGAGTGTGTGCTGTTTTGGAGATCTGTGTTAAATTCAAGTTCACATCTCCTCTTTACTTCTAACTGGCCTATAGAGATTATTACCAAGTGTTCTTCTCAATAATTCATTAAGCTATGGAATGGAATTAAAGAGTGACGTGCAAATGCTGCGAGTAATATCTCCAAGGGATTGTTCCTGGACTGGAGATGCTTTTGTGCAGTGTTTGTTTCTTCCTGTGAAGGAGCAGCACAGACTGCACCTTAGCATGGGGGAGAGCTGTTGTGTCGCTTCCTCAGGCTGGCATAATTACTAGAGGGTGCAGCCCACAGCCTTCTGGTAAGAGTGGCAGTGGAAGGGAAGGGCTCATAGGAACCATGTGAATGGTGATGCTCTGGACCTGCACAGTGGGTAGGGACCTGGAAGACGTGTTGTAAGAGACCAGGAAGTATTTCACACTTTCTGTCCCCTCAAGTAGCTATGAAATTGAACGAAAAGATAGGGTTTCTTTTTTCCTTAACCGAAGTATTTGTTTCTGCCTGGGTTTGGTCTGGTGTTGGTAAATGAACAGCGTTTTCTTGTTTATGTTTCTCTTTTTGGCTTTCTCATGTTAAAGGGCATGTAAGGCTAGCATTGAATATTGTCATATTTACTGGCAAGGCTTTTCTGAGAATGTATACTTAAATATCAACATTTTTCTTTTTAAACTAGTCTTTTCATCTCAGCCTAGTGATGAGGAATCCAGTAGCGATGACACCAGCCTCGAGCCCAGCCCTGCTCCTAGACGCCGCCGCAACAGGAAGAAGACCGTTTCTATCTCAGAGTCTGAGGAGCATCCACTCGCTGAGCCAGAGGATGAGCCCTCCAAGGAGCCAAGTAAACACCACTTTAGTGGTGGGCTCAACAGATGTGTTATCCTGGCCTTGGTGATTGCTGTCAGCATGGGATTTGGACATTTCTATGGTGAGTGTTTGGAAACACCTTGTACAGAAGCCACTAGTATATAGCAGCAAGACAAGATAGTATGAAAAGTTCAGTATTAGGTACTGTGACCTGTACCTATAGTCAGCTACTTACTCAGGAGGCAGAAGTAAAGGATTGCTGAGTCTTTGGAATTTGAGATTAGCCTGGGCAACATATGGCCAGACCCTGTTCCAAAACAAAGCATTAACATTCCTTTTTTTTTTTTTTGACACAAGATCAGGTTGCTCTCCAACCTATAATCTTCCTACATCAGAATCTCAAGTATAAGTAAGGACTAGTAATATACATATTTGTGGCTTTTTTTTTTGTTGTTTTGTTTTGTTTTTCAAGACAGGGTTTTTCTGTATAGCCCTGGCTGTCCTGGAACTCACTCTGTAGACCAGGCTGGCCTTCAACTCAGAAACCCACTTGCCTCTGCCTCCCAAGTGCTGGGATTATAGGCGTGAGCCACCACTGCCCGGCTTGTGGCTTTTTTTTTTTTAAGTTAAAAAGACTGGAGATTAAAAATCTGAAATTGGGAGTGGGGAGGTGGCACAGTGGTTAAGAATACTGGCTAGGATATTCTTCCAGAGGTCCCTGTTTCAGTCTCCTGCACCTAACCCACATGTTGGCTATTTTACAACCATCACCATTCCAGCTTCCTTCTTGTGACCTTTTAGGCCACTGCATGCACATAGTATGCAGTCATATGTGCAGGAAAAACACAAATAAAAAAAATCTGAAGATGGCTGGGTGTGGTGTTGAATGGCTTTACCCAGGGGCAGGCAGAGCCGGCTCTATCTATGGTTTTTAAAGCAGGGTTTTACTGTATAACCCAGGTTTAGCTCTGACTCAGCTTCCTGAGTGCTGAGATTATAGACCTGTGCTACCTGGCCAGAGAGGTATAATATTCTTGAGAAGTCAATGTCTTAAACCTTGTCAAGTTCACAACTCTTTTGTTGTCTGAAAAGGGGTTTCTCTATATAGCCCTGGCTGTCCTGGAACTCACTGTGTAGACCAGGCTTGTCTCAGACTCACAGAGCTTCATCTGTCTCTACCACCCAAGTGCTGGACTAAAAGTCTATGCCATCATGCCTGGCAACTTAAAAAATCTTAGTCTGCCTATATAAGCTACTTTTAGATTTATTTCTTGTCTTAGTCTACATAACCTATACTTCAATTTTCTGTTTTAATGTTCTTCTAACAGTATGTTCTTTCATGAATGTGGTAAAGATATTTGGTAGAGCATGATAGTGGAATAAAATGACTGGACAGTTCATGCTTGCTAAAGTCAAAGTTGCTGACAATGTTTTCTGTGCTCAGCTTGAGGTGGTATTTGGGCTCATGGGGAGGCCTGCCTGTGTGTTTCTTGCTGAGTACTTACTCATGAACAATACTAGCACATGTTTTATCAATGTTTTTGAGTGTATTTTTGTCCCCCCTACAGGTAAAAATGAAGGAAACAAGGGAAAAGGTCTAAAATCTTTTTTTTTCTTACTAAAAGCCAAGAGTTGGTTATTAACTTGAATATTAATACAGACTGCACTAAAGTCTCACAGTTTCCTTGACTTTGGAATATATTTTTAGAAAGTACAGTTTAGAACAGTCATTTTAAAACCAAGATTGCTAGCTTTAACAAAATTAACATACTATCTTCCTTCCTATACATTTTCATTTTAGCCTTATCACAGTGTGGGAATCCTGGATGCTGCAGTCTATGAAATGAGTTATTATATCTAAGCCCTGATTCAGTGACCTCTCAGTGTTCTCAACTAACAGGGCAGGACATGGTCTTGTGCTGGGCAGTGAGCTCCATGCTAACATCCATTCTCCAGTATCTGTATCTGTAAGCAGCCTTGTGGTAGAAACAATCTGCTCAGGATGCAGCCAGCCGTTGCTCTGTATAATGGGGGTTTTCTGTCTATACTAGAAGAGAAAGCAAAAGATGGTGACACATTGTACTCTAGCTGTTTGACTTGATTCAGGTTCTGAAAGTGCATCTGAACTTTTAGAAAAAGATAAAAATTAGCAAAGAAGATAATGATCTATAAGAAAGCTAACACCAGATTCATGTTTGAAATGCTTCTGGATCCTTGCTCACTTTTCCACACATAGGTAAGTGTTAACAGGCTGTCCAGCCATTCTGAGGATGAAACTGGAACTGGATGAGAAGTTACACAGCATAAGAGGCATTGAAGTCCATGGCTATATCCACTTACTCAGTCATCCGTGAATGGGCTTTTAGGAAGCTTATGACAGGCAGGAGGTAAAGTAGACCATTCCAGCAACGGGAACTCTATAACCCCTTTTGGAAACAAAAATTCTCTAGATTATAGATAAAAGATGTTTTTAAGGAGGCTGGAAGAATTATTTAGCTGGGCAGTGGTGGCACACACCTTTAATCCCAGCACTTGGGAGGCAGAGGTAGGTGGATTTCTGAGTTCAAGGCTAGCCTGGTCTACACAGTGAGTTCCAGGACAGCCAGGGCTACACAGAGAAACCCTGTCTCGAAAAACCAAAAAAAAAAAAAAAAAGAAAGAGAGGGGGGGGGGGGGAGGGAAGGAGGAAGAGAGAGAGAGAGAGAGAAAGAGAGAGAGAAAGAGAGAGAGAGAGAGAGAGAGAGAGAGAGAGAGAGAGACAGACAGACAGACACAGGCTGGAGAGATGGCTCATCAGTTAAGAGCACTGACTGCTCTTCCAGAGGTCCTGAGTTCAATTCCCAGCAACCACATGGTGGCTCACAACCATCTGTAATGGGGTTCAATGCCCTCTTCTGATGTCTGAACACAGTTTAGGATGCTAACTGAGTGAAAAAGTTTGATTTATGGGGCAACTGAAAACAACAGAAAAAAAAAACAGTGAAAAGGAAAAGGTAAAAATAAAAGAAGCTAGAATCACCTAGAACTGCTGTTTTGTAATCCATATAGTGGTGCTGAAGGAAAGGTTCAGGATCACATGAAGGAGCGATGGAGAGGTTAGAATGGCGAGGGTACTGGGGGTTTCCAGCCTACAGTTTTAGTTTGGTAGTCTGTCAAAAATTCAGGAAGTGTGCTAGCTGCTTCACATTGGAAGTAGATGGTTTCTTAGTGGAAGAGTCCTGCTAGACAGTGAAGTAGCTGGATGATGTGTTAGGCCTTCCACAACCTAGCTGAGTCCCCACTCCTAGATTGTTAAGTGATGTTCAAAAGTGGGTTTCAAGACCTGTAGAAGGAATTAAAAGGGATCCTTATATCCTGTGTTTAAATGTCTGCATGTACTAGAGTGCCCACTAGTTGCCAGGTCTGCTTTTTGGTTTAGTGGGTTTTTTTCCCCCCATGTATTATACATGTAGCAGGAGCATGCAGCTTGTCTTGGCAAAAGAACATTTTGAATTTAAGATCAAATGTGAAGGAATTATCCTAGTACTAAGTGATCGTCTGAGGGCTTTGCAGATGGTAGGTAGAAGCTCTTCCACTGCCCCTGCAGAATTCTTATATATTTGGCTTTGAGGACCTATAAGGTAGCACAGTGGGTAAGGGTGCTACTTTCAAGCCTGATGGCCTGAGTTTGATCCCTGAGATCTACCTGGGAAAGGAGGGTTCCAACATGTATGTGTCCCTCCCCCAAAATAGTATATGTGTATATATATATTTAAAGTAATCTCAGTATTTAAAAAATAGAAGAGATATAGAATGTTGGTAGAATGTGTGCCTAGCATGCACAAAGTTCAAGCCTTGGCTCAACATAAAAACTAGGAATTGATGCAATCCTAGCACCCTAGAGGTAGGTACAGAAGAAATTCATGGTCATTCTCCACTTCATAGTTTAATTTGAGTCTAGCCTGGTCTGCAAGAGGCTCTGTCTCAAAAACAAGCAAGCAAGCCTCTTTACCAGGTGGTGATGGTACATGCCTTTAATCCCAGCACTCAGGAGGCAAAAGCAGGTGGAACTCTGAGTTCAAGTCCAACCTGGTCTACAAATGAGTTCTAGGACAGCCAGAACAGTTACACAGAAAAGCCCTGTCTTAAAAAAAAAAAAGTAGAGTTAGGAGAATCAGGAGTTATAAGATCATCTTCAGGTAAATAGGGAGTTGGACTGTATCTTAGATGACTTAAGATCCTGTCTCTAAAAAATAAAATAAAATAAAATAAAATAGAAATTTGACTTTGAGACTGATGGTGTTCATAATTAGGCATTTCCTGTGTTATATTTCAGTGTTTGAGTTATAGCCTGTAGGCAAATTATTAAGAAACACACATTTTCATTTTTCTTTGACTCCTGTAGGAAAAGAACTCCACTGATGGCTTATTTTTCTGTTTAAAGAGGTTGAAACACTTTACTTCAGCGATCTCAAAGCTGAGTGCTGTTGGTATAGCAAGATGAGAAGTATTTTGGGGGGGAGGTTGCAGGAGTTGTTAGAGTGGCCTGTGTTTTCTTTGGAAGGGTAGTAAACTACTTAAATGTTCCTGTGTGTATGCTGAATGAATTAACATACATTATTAACCTGCTTGTCCTATGCATTAGCACCCACTGTTGTTTGAGGAATGGCACCATCAATGTTTTAGAGTGAAGAATGTCCTTGCCCAAGTTAAGGAGCTGGTGTAGCCAAGTGTGTTGTGCATTTTGGAGGAGTGGCAGTTATGTTATCCCTGTAATGGTTTTTCCTTTCAGGCACAATCCAGATTCAGAAGCGTCAGCAGTTAGTCAGCAAGATCCACGAAGATGAGCTGAATGGTGTGAAGGGTTCTCTCTCACAACGCCAGCAGGGACAAGAGTCTTTCCTAGATCTCAAGGTATGTATTCATTGAATGTTGAAAAATAACTAATAGAAAGTAATCTGGAAATGGAAATAATTGAGCTAGATGTGAGGGCACACCAACACTGTAATCCTATTCTGGCCACTTGAGAACCTAGGCAATATGAATCAGGCCAAGTTCAAGACTAGCCTGTGCTACTTAGCGATACCCTGCCTCAGAAAGCCAAGGAGAAAAAGAAAAGTAGAAACAAGCAGGTGAAGTAGTTAGGTGTTGTTACAGTGAAGAGTAGTGGACAAGAGAGATGGGAAAGTGCCAGCAGGGAAAGGCACTTGCTACCAGGCCTGAGCATCCGCGTTCAGTCCCAAGGCCTTACATGGTGACAGGAGAGAACAGACTCCCATAACCACAAGCTGTCCACTGACCTCCACATACACACCTGCACACAAACGAATGTAGTTAAAAATAAAAAAAGGTTAAAAATAGTGTTAAGTTGTTTTGTACTTTTATACCTGTTCCTCATATTGGCATGCACCATGTAATTTACTTCTCTTGGCACTCATGTGAGTGAAGCAATGGATCTTTTTTTATAAACAGAAAGAGGTTCAGATAGGCTAAGTATCTTTGCAAGGCTAGCAGATTTAATTGGATTCCAAGTATCTAACTTCAAAGATTTTACAAAACTGAACTATGTGTGTATGTACATACAAAGTACCTTGCATGCATGGCACAAATGTGGAAATCAGAAAATAACTTTCAGGAGTCAGTTCTCAGATCTATCATGCTGGTCCTACGGAATCCAGTTTAGGTTCAGGCCTGGCAGCAGGCACTTCTGCCAGGAGAGCCGACTTGGAAACTATATTTTAAAACCTTTTCTTTCGTTGTCGTCGTCTTTTTTTTTTTTCTGAAGATCAATGAGTTAGGGGAACAACTTTCAGTTGTTTCTCATGTATAAAGCTCTATTACTTATTTTGTTTGTTTCTGAATTCAAGTTTACTTGGATTTGGGAAAGTATTTAACTATGTTACTAGGATTCAGGCTGTCCTCTGTGCAGAAATGTTTCCATGAGATTCTGTACTGACACACGGCAGCCTTTTCTGCCACCCTAGTGTTGGGATTAAAGGTGGGTACTGCCATGCCTTGTTGCCTTCTGATTTTTTTTTTTATCCTCATCAGTACTGAGTCTGGGGACGTGGGGATACAAATATACAAATGGCTGATTGTGAGTTTACTTACCGAAAGCAAATGCAACTAACGTTAAAATCTCTTAGTTGCTGGGTGTGATGGGACAGAGGAAAGCAGATCTGAGTTTGAGGCCAATCTGGTCTACAGAATGAGTGATAGGTCAGCGAGGGAGATGTAGGGAGGCCCTTTCTGAAAATAAATGAATAAATAGAATAAAATGTTAGCTCTCTAAACTCAGTAGGTACCTTTTCAGGACAGCTACTATAGTAACAAGATTGAAGGGCTTCCCTTGCTTTTTCTCCGATGATACATCTGTATGCAGCACTGAGAACGGACTCTGGGGCCTTGGGTCTGCTAGTAAGTACATGGCCCTTAGGCTGTTAGAGACAAATGGAATTCTGCCTACTTGTTCTTGTTTGAATTCTCCTTCCTTGACAGTGTTGATGATTTGATGTGCCTGCCTGCTGCTCATTCTCTTTCATGTGACACTTTTACTTTCCATTTCCCTTTTTAAGAATGAGAAGCCTCTTGAACATATGGCAAGTGGCATTGAGAATTTATTTTCCAACTTTTATCACCATTTAACATACGCAAAGGGTTTGTGCACATGGTCATATACATATACACATACATACACACAGGCACTAAAAGGTATTGTTGCTATATGATAAAGATTCAGATTGAATTTTCTAATGACTTAATATTTCTTTTCTCGTTCATTTAAAAAAAAAAACAACCACCATTTAGTCATTGAAAGAAAACCTTGAGAGATGTTGGACCACTACTGAATCAGAGAAGGTTACCTTTGAAACTCAGAAGAAGAACCTTGCTGCAGAAAACCAGTATTTGCGAATATCTCTGGAGAAGGAAGAGAAAGCTCTATCTTCATTACATGAAGAGTTACGGCAACTACGGGAGCAGATTAGATTGTTGGAGGATAAAGGCACAAGTACCCAGTTAGTTAGGGAGAACCAGGTTCTTAAGCAGTACTTAGAAGTGGAAAAACAGAAAACAAATAGCTTCCTTAATGAAAGGGAGACTCTCCTGGAGGAAGCAAGGATGCTGAAAGGGGACCTGGAGAGAGAACGGCTCACAGCAATGGCTCTGCGGGCACAACTTGAGCAGTTAGTCCCTTGCCAGGCACAGGGCCACGCAGAGTCTTCTGGTGTGCAGTCTGAAGAGAAGGAAGTCGTGCTGCTCCAGCAGAGGCTTGCTGAGCTGGAGCACAAGCTCAGCTTTGAGCAGCAGCGCTCTGATTTGTGGGAGAGGCTGTACGTTGAGGCGAAGAATCAACATGGAAAGCCGGAGATGGATGGGAGGAGGAGAGGAAGCAGAGGAAGCCACAGGACGAAAAGCAAGTCGAAGGAGACATTTCTGGGGACAGTTAAGGAAACATTTGATGCTATGAAGAATTCTACCAAGGAGTTTGTGAGACATCATAAGGAAAAAATCAAGCAGGCAAAAGAAGCTGTGAAAGAAAATCTTAAAAAGTTCTCAGATTCGGTCAAATCCACTTTTCGGCATTTCAAAGATACTACCAAGAATATCTTTGATGAAAAGGGCAGTAAGAGATTCAGGGCTCCAAAAGAAGCAGCAACTGAAAAGCCAAGAACAGCTTATAGTTATTCTTCATACTCAAAGCAGGAGGCACCAAACCAAAACCAGAATTGCAGACAGCCTTCTGCACAAAGGGATGGAGGAAGAGAAAAGCCCAGTCACTCTGAAGACATTAGAAAAAATGGAAATTCATATACATACAAGGCCAAGTTTGACTGCAGAGGCACCCACTCCACCAGAAGGGTTTGTTCAGGTATGTTTGAGTGTGCTGGACAGGAATTCATTAGCCCTACTAATAAAGCGAGTCCTGTTAGGATGAGTGACTTTAAACAGCTGATTCACTGGTACTTACTGAATGAACTGGATACTTTTAACCACTGGAAAGAACTGGATCAGTTCATCAGTCCGTTTTTTCCGAATGGTGTCTTTAGACATGACCAGAAGCTCTTCGCTGACTTTGTTGATGATGTGAAAGGTTACCTTAAGAGCAAAAAGGAGTATCAAGTAGAGGATGGCAATTTGGAGAAGTTGGATGGATGTATATATAGACACTTTGGGCACGCTTTCGCCCTTCCATTTGGACCCAGGTCGGTTTACATAAAACCGTGTTACTATAATAGCTTCTAACAGTGATACAGTGCATAGCATTTTATTTTATTTTTTAACACTTTGAGCTTTTTGGAAGGTTACTGTTTGTAAGTGACGAGCTTTATTGCCAATGAAATTCAGAATAAATTGAAAGAGTAGAGTTTTAAAATTATAACTATTACAAACTGAGAAAAAATCCATGTCAATCACCTAGACTTAAATAATTGAATTTTCCCTTAAAAATTAAAAGGTATATATATAAACTTAATGGAGCCAATCTAGCTTTTTCAGCATAGTTTATATAATTCAGTGAAATTGTTTCCTTTAATCTTTGACTTACAGAACTAGAAACAAAGACTTTAATGTGAAGCCCAGGTTATGTGGAGCCGCTCACCTCTAATCACTGTCAGTTTGATTGCGTGTAGGAGTACTCATTGCAGGGTGACTACTGAGAATGGTAACCTCCTGAACGCTCAGGAGCCACAAAGCCCCATAATGTCCTTTAAGACTGTCTGTAACTGCTAATGTCTGTTTACTGTAGAGAGTCAAGTTCCATTTTTATGAATAAATACAATGTGCCTATAAAATAATGAGACTGGTTTCTGATGTCTTCAGTTCCTGAAGCAGGTGCCGAGTGCTATTACGAGCAGTGTTGGAGGGCTGCTTTGAGGAGACATGAACAACTCCTTGCTGTTCAAGAGCTAGGTGTGCAGGGAGAGGCGTGAAGGTTTAGTGGCCTTAGGCAGTCTAGAGATGGTTGGAAAATCTTCATGATTGAAGTGACCTTGCATCTAAACTTGTTTTGAAACAGCTTTTGGGAGAGAAGAGAGGGTTAGTACATGGATGGAAGAGAGTGTTAGTTCCTGGAATGGAAGGCCATTTGCAAAGGCACGGAGAAATGAAGACACACTACTTTACAGAAACAGGTGACCTGGGGTGAATCAGAAAGGTCTCTGTTTTGTCCTGAAGTGTCTGTCTTGTGAGATGGAGAATTTCTGAAGGATCTTGTCACTGGTTGGGATGGTGCCTAGCCTGTTAAGATGACTGGAAGCAGCCAAGAGGGTTGATTGACAAGGTGTGAAGCCAACTGTGGTGGTCGGCACACGAGAAGCTGATGGGAGTCTGAATGAGGTCATCGAAGGTGGTGAGACAGTTCTGTCTTGTGTAAGGGAAGTAGAAAGTAAGCATTGTGGGCATATCTGGAACGCCTTCACTGTTGGATATCGATATTACTCAGAATACCAGAAGGAAGGTCTAAGCAAGAGGAACCAGAAGCCAGTTGATTTGGAGGTATCTGTTGGCATTTATTTGGAGAGACGGGTTGGTAGTTACACAACCATTTCTACTCAAACTCACTTCGAAGCCAGTCTTCATTGGAAGGTCTAGTGCAGGGGACACCGACATCTGTGCTGGTTAGAGAGAAAGCTAAGCAAAGAAGAGTGCAGAGTGACGCACAGGAACCCAGAGATGTCAAGTCAGGTGCTTAGAGCTAAAGACTGCAGGGTGCTTGTGTTCAGGTCTTTGTGTAAAGCAATGGAGAAGCCAGCAGGCTGAGTGGGAGTGCCTGCTCACTGCACTGGCCTGAAAAGGGGGAAAGTTGGAGACTGCTTTGCAAGATGTGTATATTATCTCAGTTGAGGGATAAAGCCAGTGGACCTGAGACTGGTTGTTCTTACTGGAGTAATAACGGAAACACCTCATTATTTTATTGTTACATTCCTGTTAGATTTCCCTTCCAGCCAGTGCAAGGGTATTTATGTCTATCTTTTTTTCTTCAGTGTTGAAATAATACCCCTTTTACCTGGTATCATAATAAGATTTTATATTTTATCTTTTTGCAGTGTTTAGATAGATTAGTGGAGAAAAACATTGTTATTTTTACTTTTAGAAAACTGAACTCTAACATAGATAAAACATGTGTTTACTACTTTCAGTCGACCTGATAAAAAGCAACGTATGGTAAATATTGAAAACTCCAGGCACCGAAAACAAGAGCAGAAGCCCCTTCATCTGCAGCCTTATAGAAGGGAAGGTAAATGGCGTAACTATGGTCGCGCTAATGGAAGACACACGGCAAATCTTGAGATAGAACTGGGGCAGCTACCTTTTGCTCCTAAGTACTGACTCATGATTAAGTTAAACTAGAAAGTTAACAGATGTGGATGCTTTCTACTTCATTTGATGTTGAAATTAAGATGAACTCCCCATGACTGTCTTTATATTATGCAAAAGCAAAGCTTACTAACTTGCATTTTACTGTAGTTTAAGTTTGTTAAAAACAAAAACTTTTTTTTTTTGCTCTGGAAAAAAAAATGGTAGTTTTATTGAGGAAGCCAGGCATGAAACATTCTATGCATGAAACAAGGCTTGGTTTGAGAAGCTAAGCTTAGGGCGAGCAGCTTGGCTCACACAGGGCGGTAAGTGTTGTGGGCAGGTGCGCAGCAGGGCTTGAGGACTGAGCTGAGGTGGGACTCTGCTCTAACATTTCTACTCTCACGCTTTTGTCTCTCTGTGGGTTCAAGAGCCCGTTGGCTTGTGAAGAGCTTGCTGGCTTGCCATGTGAACTCTCTTGTGCACCCGAATGCTATGGAAGAAACAATAAACTGCACCATGAGGAAAACTAACGGTCTCTCTCAAGTCTGGCGCCGTACTAGTGTTCCCTGAGAGTGTCTCAGGACAGTGAACGGTACAGCTGTCCCCGGTGGCTTCCCTCATGTCACGAGTCACCTATAGTTTCTCTCAGTTATGCCATCATCTCTGCAGAAGTCCTCACAGTTCAGTTCCTCCTGTGTTGACTCTGCCAGTTAACCGTCGCTCATAGACATGTATGTGACTTCCAGTTCGACCCTCTGGCCAGTGAGTGTGGAAGAATGTAGCTGTCCTCTCATAGCTCCGTGAGGTGAGGAAGGCATGGATCTCCTGCAAGTAAATAAAGGCATGTTTGCCAAGTGCGACTTCAAGGAATTCTAGAGTTGTCAATTGTAACTTTTCTTTTGTGACTTTTTCCTTCACGAAACAAGCTTTCTGGTGAAAGGAATGACTCTGGTAGCTAAACATGTCTAGTGAGTTACAGTCAGGGCTGATTTTACTGGGGAAAAGATCAATTATGGAATATGGGGATTGGAATGATTACATTTTGTCAACTTTACTGGATTAAGAAACTATTAGGCCCAGACAGTGGTGGCCTATGCCTTTAATCCCAGCATTCAGGAGGCAGAGACAGGCAGATCTCTGTGAGTTTGAGGCCAGAGGAGATGGCTCACTTGGTCACCTGGTTGCTGACCAAGCATAAGGATCTGAATTCGGACTCCTAGAACCAACATAAAAAGCTGGGCATGGAAGTTGGGTGTGGTGTCACATATCTTTAGTCCTACTGAAGGAGATGTAGTCTGTGAATTCTAGGACAGCCAGGGTATACTGTGAGACCGTGTCTCAAAAAAATAAAACAAACAAAATCCTCAGACATGGTGGCACATACCTGTAGCCATCTGGGTCATTGCAGTGAGGTAGAAATAGGATTTGGGGGGCTGCGGCAAGCCACGGCTGTTCTGTTCTGGGTTTATGAGAGACCAGGCTCAAAAAATGAGGTGGAAAGGAACAGGAGGCAACATGGGTAGACTTGAACCTCTCTGGCCTTTCCATGTATGTATACAGAAACATGGCTACGCATGAGGAAACAAGACAGGGCAGCAGTGAACACGGTTCCTAAGTGAGGAAGCCCTGCCTGCCCTGAATGTGGGTGGCACATTCCCGTGGGCTGTGCTCCAGTCTGCATAAAGAAAAGGGGAGAGCAGACTGAACCAGGATGTTCCCCTTTATCACATGCTGGTCCACAGACCAGGCAGGCTCACATGCTCCACTGCAGCTGCAGCTGGGGAGCCATTCCCACCCAGCACCATGCCTCCTCAGCCACACAGGGCTGTGTCCTGAACCTGAGCCACAATAAAACCTTTCTCCTTAAGTTGTTTTTTTGTCAGGTGTTTGGCCACAGCCTTTAGAGAACTATCTCATACAGGGGATGAGAGGGATCAGTGAAGCAGATTATTGTTAATCTAATGAAAACACTGAGTTAACTATTTCAAGTTGGCATACCTTCTCCAGAACACTGAAGGTGACCAAGTGAGTGGGGAGTGACGCATTGCTGTGAAACTCTTGTTGTAGCCAGCTTAAGGGGTGTAAGTAGAACATATCTGCTTCATCAAGATACTGAGTTTTTCCAGTCAAGTCTGGGGGACACTGGAGAAACCGCATAGACAGTTGGCAGTGAACATGGCTGTGGAAGAAAGGGCAAAAGAGTTAAACAGCCCAAGTTTCCACATCCTTCAGGCTGACCTTGAGCCCAGGCAGAACTGCCTTCCTCACCTGTAGTAAGGCGTGGAGTGGCAGGGCATCATTATGAAGATGGAGGCTGAAGCTGGGTCAGGACCTGTGGGGCAGACTTTCTGAATGTGATTCATGACATCCAGAGTGCCTCTCTGATGAACTAGGCCAGTGTAGAGTGCCAGCGGCACATTTGACAAGAGCAGAAAGCTCAGCACTGCCTTCCTCCATGCCTTCAGGTGGGCTAGTGAGTATCCTGCATGGAGATAGATGGGTAAGTGGAACACAGGTGGTCCTGTTAACTGTTATCCACAAATACATTTGTATAGTTTCCATGCAAACATGAGCAGTGGTACTGTGTGGCAAGTAAACAGGCAGTGAGTAGCTTCTCTCACCACTCGCCACCACTGCACTCTCAGGCGGGGTCTAGCTCCATTCTAGTCAGTCAAAGGCACGGTGAGGGGAATGGCTCTCCAGTCTTAACTTGTAGACTTAAGTATCTGAGGGCATCTGACATCCTAAGATTTCCAAGAGGATTTCTAAAATTTGAATGATTCCAGGATAGTTGGAAGGACATAGTTAAACAGCTAACCTGGACTAAGATTCATGACTTTCTTAACAGGGAGCAATACTGTTTATTCAGTCATACCCAGTTAAATCCTACTACCCAGTAGGTGTTTCTGTTTGCATGGAGATGTTGTTCTCATAAGCATCACTCCAAGTGCCTACTTTGCTTTTATTGTCGGGTCCTACGAAGTGTGCTGGGCTGTACTAAGGATGCTTGCCTGGCTTCCATCTCACACACAGAATACAAATCACTCTATGTGAACTAGCTCTTAGTATGCGTGTGGGTTTTGTGGTTTTTGGAATGGGGTTTTACTGTGTAGCCCAGGCTTGCCTCAAACTCAAGATCCTTATACCTAAGCCTCTCAAGTACTGGGATTACAATTTTGTGCTACCATGCTGATAAATGTACTAGTTATCTTACTATGCATGGGCTTTGGGTTTTGTGGAGTAGTTATAACAACCAGTCTTCTCCAGCAGTGACTTAACAGGGTGGTTCACACCGTGAAGAGGGTGGGAGGGCCTGGACCTTCACTTAGTAATTCCATCTCCTGTACTGCACAGTGACAAAGACTTCTAAAAACAAACCCCAAGGTCACTGGGCAGTGGTGGTACACTAGAGGCAGAGGCAGGTGGATTTTTGAGTTTAAGGACAGCTTGATCTACAGAGTGAGTTCTAGGACAGAGCTTCACAGAGTAACTCTGACTTGGGGGGAGGGGTGTAGCCAAGGTCAAGGAAAAAACCCTATTACCTTCTCCAGTATGTTCTGTCACTTAGAAATACATGTTAATCTTTACATTTTTAAACATTGCTGGGAAGGATCTTAAGTTATGGTGTTTACATGAGAAAAGAAAAGGAGTAGTTTATTTAGCTGGAGAACCAGTGGAGAAGGGCAATACTGAATTGTATCTTAACCTCTGCACAGGCAGAGGTACCAGGAAGTTTAGATTGCAGCTCTCTTAAGGGAACAGGCTGTATTTTCACCAACCACAACCTCAATACTAAATCCTCCAAGAAGGATCTTGTAGTGGAATTGTCAACTTCAGACACTAAAATTAACTGGAGAATATGTAGTGTGTGATCCCAGTAATCCCAGCTAGTAGGGAGGCAGAGGAAAGAGGGGTGCAAGTTTAAGGCTAGCCTGAGCAACTTAGCAAGATCTTCAGATTGAAGCAGTTGCTTCCAGGAAAGAGGACTGGGAGGGGTGCCAGCAAGTGGATAAAGAAAGGCCTTGCCACACAAGCCTGAGTTGGATCCCTAGAGTTCATGCCCCCCAGGTCTCACTAGGCTGGTCTAGAACGTTGGTTTCTTCAGTTTCTACCTACCTCCCAAGTACAAGGATTACAAGTATACACCACACCTGCTGATGTGTTGTTTTGGAGTCTTCATTTTTTTTTTCCTTGAGTCAGGATCTTGCCATGAATGTAACCCAGGCTGTCCTTAACCAGCAGTCCTCTGGCCTTGGCTGCTAGAATGCTGGTGTGCAGACTGGTACCACTTTCCCTGGCCCATTGGCTTTAGAACACAGAATCTATCTTGAAGCAGTGCATAAGTAATGTTGATAGATAGACTGGAACTCAGAACAAGTGATCTTCAGTGGGAGGCAAGGTCTCTACTGGCCAGGAGTAAAACAATGACACCTAATACTGTCTGGCAGTATATCAGCACACCTCAGCATTTCAGCTCAGCCTATTAAGAAACCAAGGTACAGTGCATACTATGAGGAACTCTGATGCTGTTATCCAGACTTAGCCTTGGAAGGCTGAGAGGGGTTCTGGCTAGAGTCTAGAGACTGAAAAACCTTGCTTTTTAACCACTTCTTGAATCTGGCCTGGCTTTTGATTTGCTGTGACTCAAAGACTGGTGAAAGGACCAGCAGATTTTAGGCCCAGGCCTCCTACCCTCCCACACTTCTCAACCTTGAAGGCACCAGAAACACAGCTGGGCAGTGAGCTGATGTATATACAGCTAGTCTGGCCCACATATCTAGAGCCCTTCCAGTGCTTGTCTAGTCAGCGTGAGTGAGCAGAGTTAAGATGTGGCTCATAAGAATAAACAGCATTAAAAGTCACTATTTACATAGCAGTGGCTGGCAGTGACATTTACATAAAACAGGTTAAGATAGGTCACAAGAACAGAGTAAGGCTTAGATTTGAGGAGTTTGGGAAAGACTCAACAATTCTAAGGAAAGCTGCATGGTGCAGCAAGCAAGCTTGCGATCCTATCACTGGTGGGGATGGGCTCAGGCAGGATAATCTAGAGTTCAAGGCCAGCCTGGATGACATAGTGAGAATGTTACATGGATATTTCAGGCCAGCCAGACTCTGTCTTATCTCCTGTCCCTGGCAAAAAAAAAGTGGACTGTACGATGGATCATTCTTTTATCTTATGTAAAAAAGCCATTTAGTAGCTAGGCAAAGTGGTTCACATCTGTAATCCCAGCACTTGGTTGGTTGAGGCAAGATGGCCCTTGAGTTCAGGTCTGGCCACATAGAGAGCTCTAGGTCAGCTCTGTCTCTATAACCAACAACAGATACCCACAGAGCATTAGATTACAAAAAATAAAACACTACAGTAATAGTTTGTAACTAGGGAAGGTTTCATTGAGCTAGTCGGAAATAAATAGCTCCTTAGGCATTTATGGTCTATTAATGTTTCATTGCTGTTTTGAGACAGGATCTCGCTATCAAAGCCCAGGCCACTCTTGACTTGTTGATCCTCCTGCTTGTTTCTCTCCAGGGCAGGGATTACAGTAGTGCTGTCAAGTCTCACTTCTTTTAGCTACTCTTTCTAAAATGTATTCTGTATTAAACAAAAATACTTACCACAGAACACCATGCAAAATGGTAAAACTGGATAGATAAACCTGAATTCTTTGTGGCCCAACATACTATAATAAAAGATATTAAGACAAAACATTAATTTTATATTAGTCTGAGAAATTAATGTATTTAAACTATATGATCTGTTTATTTGTCAAGTATTTGACACTGAATTCCTTTTCTTTTTTTTGATAAGTGTTTTTCACCAGCCTGAGACTCCTGACACTCTGCTTTAGCCCATGCTGCTGCATTACAGGCATTAGACCATGCATCAGACTCAGGGATCATACTCCTTTTTAAATAGAATGTGATTATGTGTTAAACAATAATATTGGAATGAAATTATAATGTACAATTACACTAAGAAAAAAATTTTATTACCTATTCAATTAAGTAATATTACTCCAATCTGGAATACATTGCTTTAAAAGGTTTAAAAATGTGTGTGTGTATGTGTGTGTGTCTATGTCTGTGTTTGTATGTGTGTTGCGGGTGAGGTGCTCACACCACAGTGCACATGTAGAGGTCAGAGTACCAGTGCATCAGTAGTCTCTTCCATGTGGATCCTGGTATGCTGCTCAGGACATCAAGCATGCTGGCAGGTGCTCTACCTGCTGAGCCATCTCACCAATTCCTCATTTTTATCTCACTGTTAGATGTAGGAATAGCTCTAAAGCCTCTGAGTATCATGTTTATCTGACATAATCTCTACTGCTATATCCTAAGAAGCAACTTCTCAATAATTTCAGAATCTCTTAGTAATAACATTTAAACATTCACCTGCTTGAACAAAGTCTTACCTGTATACCAGCAGTGTCCACAGGACAGTCAGCAGTAGTATGTGGAACCTCCTTGGGGCCAGGAAGCAACCGTGAATGAAGAAGGGTAAGTGGGTCCCCAGGACAACTGGAAACCCTTGACTAAAGTACCAGTGCCATGGATGGGAGCCATAAAATGTCCCCAAGTTCTTTATCACGTTAAATTTCAAAAAATTAAATTGGACCAGCGTCCACTGGCATAAGTGAAAGAAAAAAAAATGGGTTAGTGTCAAAAACTGATCTAGGGCTTTATACCATCTGACAGAATCATAACATTAAATACGAATTTAATCCAAAAACTCAGGCAGCAGTCTTTAGTTAGTCTTTGTAATGACATGAGTTCTTGTTAATAACTTGTCTGTCTTTATTTTTTTTCCTCACCCCCTCTTCCTTTTTTTTCTAAGAGGGTTTCTCTGTGTAGGCCTGTCCTGGTATTTGATCTGTAAACAAGGTTGGCCTTGAACTCAGAAATCCACATGCCTCCCAAGTGCTGGGATTAAAGGCGTTACAACAGAATAAAAGCAGGCCACCACCGCCCTGGTTAATAATTTGTTTTTCTAAGTACTTGATATCGTGTTAATCTGTAAAATGCTAAGTTTTTAAAGTTTAAGGTAAATCTCAAAAATTATGAATAATCATTCACACATATTTTTGTTTAGTATCCAATTAGAAAAGAGAATTTTTAATTGATTTTTCTTTTAATTGTATGTGTGTGCACTTGAACATGTGCCCTCATGCCTAATTGTTCTTCGAGCTGAGAAGGGATCAGAGTCCCTGGAATTCCAGGCAGTTGTGAGCAGCTCCTATGTGGATGCTGGGACCCAGCAATTATGGATTCCTCGGTGTGGAATTACAGGTGTGCCACTACACAGAGCATGTGCTATCACAGCCAGATTCAATACAAAAGCACTGAAAGTATAGCTTGAGGTTTCAGAGCAATAAGTGGTTAAAATAGATAACCTAATTTAGCTTACTCTAATTTTTACTTACTTGGCCAAAAAAGATACGATCAATTAGCAGAGACAAACTGAAGGTTGTAAATCTGAAAAACAGAGTGGAATGGTGACTCACATGGGAACCTGCTGAGCTCTAGCCACTGTCTTTGTACCAGCACGACTTTAAAAATGCTTTACCAGCTCACCAGCTGTGGATTCATACATTTTGAAAGCTCTTTAACTGATGACAAGATGCACTTAAGCAAACATTTTTAAAACAACCACTATTCTATCTATTCTTGGATAATTAGCCTGTCAACATAAAAATACAGATACTTATTATTTCAAAGTCCTCGGGGTTTAAAAAGTCCTAACTATAGTTGGCTAGGTGCCTGTAGCTCCAGGTATATTGCCCAGCTCTCAGGGCTGCTGGAAACTTCATTGGTATCATGCTTCTAGGATTGGACTGGCTTCCTGTGTGTGCTGCAGTTCATTCATGTCTAATGTTGTAGGTGAATTGTCACGCTGCTTTTATTCTGTTTTACTGTACTCCCATTTTTAGGTTTTTAGAACACTGGCTGTAGACAGTATGATAGTTCCCACGAGTTGTCAACTTTTCACACGTGAGAGAACCTCAGTTGAGGAACTGTCTTCCATGTAATTGTCTGTGGCACATCTGTATGGGATTTTCTTAACTATTAATTGATGTAGTAGTCCCCAGCCCTCTGTGGGCAGAGTCATCATTGGGCTCATAGGCCAGGCTGTGTAAGAAAGGCAGCTGAGCAGGCCAGAGGAAGCCACCCAGGAAGCAGCATTCCTTAGAGGTTCCCTTCCTTCAGTCTGTTCCTCCAGGTTCCTGCCTTGGCTTCCCTGGGTAATGGATACAATTTGTAACCTGTAATCAACCCTTTCCCCAAGTTGGTTTTGGTCAGTGTTTTATCACAACAACAGAAAAAACACAGAGACACAGCTATATAGTTTTGTTTTGTTTTGGTCTTGAGACAAGGTCTCTTTATGTATGTAGTCCTAGCTGTACCAGGACTCACTATGTAGACCAGGCTGGCCTCAGACTCAGATCCACCTGGCTCTGCCTCCTGAGTGCTGGAGCATGTGCCACTATACCTAACGTTGATTTGTCTCTTGAAATGTGTTGAACCCAAACAAGCAGTGAGATGCTGAGTGCAGCCGAGCACATTTCCGGTTTGCTTTGACACTGAGTCTTACTATGTAACCCTGGCTGGCCTGGAACTCACCGAGATCCACCTGCCTCTGCCTCCTAAGTGCTGTAGTTAAAGTTATGTGCCTCATCCTGTACGATAAACACCTTTAAATTTAGTGGCAATCTGGATTTTTTTTAGATTTATATATGTTTTGTGTGCATGTATGTGGACCACATATGTGGTTGGTGCCCTCAGAGGTTAAGTAAGAAAGGGTGTTGATTCCACGACAGCCAGGACTTTGGAGAAACCTTGTTTCAACCAACCAACCAACCAACCAACCAACCAACCAACCAACCAAAAGAGGGTCCCCTGGAACTGAGTTATGGACAGTTGGGAATCCATGTGGGTGCTGGGAACTAACCCTGGGTCCTTTGCATGAGCAACAACTGCCTTTAAAAAAACAAAACAAAACAAAAAAACCACTGTGACTCCAGCTCCCAAACTGGATATTTTTTGAAGTAGCTGGTAGGGTCTTTCATGGTCTGTTTCCAGTCACCCTGTTCTTAGTTTTCTGTTTTGTGTCCTCTCTGGACATGAGGTTCGATTGATTATATATGTTGTAGATTTGGTCAGTAGCTTGCCTTTCCACTGTCCTCACAGTGAATGTCAAAGTGTCCTTACCTTTTGTTTTTGTGCCATGCTGGAGTTAGCGTGTAAGTAGTCTGTCATTGAGCCATATCTCCAGCACAAAGGTCTTTAACAACTCAAATGTATCTTTTCAAAGGTTTCTGTTCTGCCTGGGGATGGATGCTCTGATTATGGGGGTAGTCTGTCTGCCTGGCAGGACACAGGTGTCTTACCTTTATTAGTGAGATCTATGCTTTTCTTGGAGATTTTCTTCTAACTTCTGGGAAGTAGGTTTAAGATTTTTTTTTTTAAGATTTACTTATTTATTGTATGTGGTTATACTGTTGCTGTCTTCAGACACACCAGAAGAGGGCATTGGATCCTTTTATAGATAAGCCACCGTGTAGTTATGTAGTTGGTAGGAATTGAATTCAGGATCTCCGGAAGAGCAGTCAGTGCTTTTAACTGCTGAGCCATCTCTCCAGCCCTCTCAACATTTTTTTTTAAAGATAGTTCAGCATGCTGGTTCAAGGCCATTATTACAGAATTTGGGAGACTGAGGAAGGGAGAAGTCTATGGGTTCAAGGCCAGCCTGGCTAACATAGCAAGTTCCAGGCCAGCCAAGGCTTTGAGGTAAGGCTGTCTCAAAAACAAAACAGGCTGAGACTTGTGGGACACAGGGTTAATGCCAGCATTCAGAAAACAGAGGCAGGCCTGGGCTGCATAATGACTCTGTGGGGGAGGGGACCATGAGAAGAAGCCTGGTAAGGTTGAGCTGGGTTGGAAGCCCCAGGGCCCAAAGGGATGGTAGGAGTTTCACCTGCTCCAGACACCAGGCCTCCATCAGCCACAGCTCCCATAGAGAGACTTGTGACCATCAGTCACATAGGGGCAGCAACCCCCAAGCCCCTCCACATGTAGCTGAGGGATCTGTAACATCTCAGACCAAGCCAATAGGAAGTAGCTGCTGTTAGACCCCAACCTGCCCAAAAACTGTATAGAAGATCCTATCTAGAAGGAATAAAGGTGTGTGAGAATTACTCCATCACCTGAAAACATCTGTCATATAAGAACTGTAATAGTTCCTGAGAAGAGAACGCTCTCCAGAAGCTTTTGCCTCCAGAAGCTCCCCTGCACCTCACTTCTTAGCCAACCCTCCACCAGCTTGGCTCAGTGTAGCATCTGGGAGCAACAGCGGCTCAGGGGCAGCAGCAGCACCAGAGCAGCTGTGGCGGTTGCACTTCCTCCTCCCTGCTTGCACCCTTTCCTCTTTGTTTGAATGCTCTCTCAGGGCTGGGCCATAGGCCTCCATGGATAGTGTCTGGTGCACAGAGCAGCAACTGGCGCCCATGTGGACTATGCCAAGCTGAACCGTACTCCAGCAGACGACCACTCAGACCAACATCGGAACTCCAGATTAAACAAAGACCGTGAGTAAACCTCTGACACTTGTTCAAAAGTCCCAGGCTTTTCTCCCTCTGTGTTTCTCTGACTCTGTTCTCTCTCTGACCCTTTTCTCCCTCTTTCCGATCCCCACGTCCCTGCTCTCCCCACCTTTGCCCTCTGGTCCTGGCTCCCCGCCCCTTTGACTCTTAGCTACACTCTCCAAATCTAATCTTGGATTTAGTGACTAGCCTCTGCTCTCTACTTCTCGATCCTCCCTCAGCCCCACAATGAGGGCTGCTACACAGCTAACAGAGCCAGGGTCCAGTCAGCAGCGCATGCCCAGGGCGCTCTACCTTCCCCTGCCTGCCAGCCCGAGCCCAGCCGGCGGTCCCAGCAACAGCCCCAGTGCCCAGCGCTCCACAGTGCGAACAAAAAAAGCAAATGCACTTGCCCCCTAGTACTGCCCAACTCAAGCTGCTACCGCTGCAGCTAGGCAGAGCCCAGCTATGGGCGCTGTCTCACTCCTTCTAGCTCTGCCTATACCTGATATGGTGCTACCAAGTCTTCTCTCTCTGCTCTACTTTTAGGGTATACCAGTCAAGAAAAAAAAAAAAGCAGGGGGTGGGGTGGGGTGGGTACAGCTGGGAAGTGGCAGCAGGCCCTCTCTCCCTCCCCCTAGGAGAAAAGAGCTTCCCAAGCAAAGACAATAGATAAGATCTCGCTGCTGAGAGTTCCGGAAAAAGCACACCTGAAACCCTTAACTCAAAAAATTTCAGTCTTTGTTGCTTGTTGTTCTCCCTAACAGGGACACCTAAAACAATGTTCATGCCTTTTAACCTAAAATTTTCATACTTCTTTATTTAAACGTTTATTTTTCTCCCTAGTATTTGTGCCTTCTAACCTAAAATTGTCCTAAAATTTTTCAATTTGTTTAAAATTTCTTTTAAGGTTCAAAAATCATATTTAATCTATTCCCACAAGTCAAACAAACTATACTGATAACCATTATTTATTCCTTAATTAACAGTTTCCTGGTACCCAACCTCACAAAACCCAGAGGAAGAGGGCTTCCCAGGAGCTCAAACCCGGGCAGTATCTCAGGTAAAAATGAATCACCCGTGATGCCTGCTGTTAGAAGTTCTAATCAAGGGCCAGGCGGTAGTGGCGCACGCCTTTAATACCAGCCAAAAAAAAAAAAAGTTCTAATCCAAAAATAAATAAATAAAATAAAAATACAAAAACAAAAACAAACAAACAAACAAAAAAAGAAGTTCTAATCCAGATGCTGGCCTCTGAACTTATACTACTCAGACCTTCAACGGGCAATTGACAAGAACATCAAAGAGCTAGAGATTGACATCACTAATCTGAAGAAATCCCTCATTTTGCTGTCTGAAGTGATCTCCAAAAATTGCAAAGGACTTTATTGGACTTGATTTACTCTTTTACAATAGAAAAGACTGTGTATAGCTCTAGACTGTGTGCAGCCCTTAAAGAAGAATGTTGCCTTTACATATAGACAAGACAGGGATGGTTAAAGAGAGCATGAAAAAGGTAAGAGAAGGCTCTGAGAAAAGACAGAGAAAGAGAAAAATGAGAGCTGGTACAGGAATTGGTTTTCAACCTCTCCATGGTTGTCAACCCTACTTCCTCCCATCTTGGGACCATTAATTGGGTTATTTTTGCTTATTTCTGCTGGTCCCTGGGCCTTAAATAGACTGACTAACTTAGTGAAACAACAGAAAAATAATTTGGTAGCAAAACCTATTCAGATACACTATCATAAGTTAGCTATGGAGGACTAGGAGACTCAAGATGAGGTTGTTACTCTATTCAGGGTGTTCCCAAAACCCATCTCCACCCAACCTAAAAGAGGGGACTTCCACCCCTAGACCAAGCAGAGAGGGGCCACCCAGAACCCCCTCTGACAGGCTATCTGGATTCTTGCTTAGGCTGCGAGGCTAAACACTGCAAGGGAATATCAATAAAAGATAAAAATATCTCTCTGGGTTCCCTGAGGGACAAGCCTGACTGCATAGGGGTTGATGTCAAAAGTATCTCCTCTCCAGGAAAAAGACATTGGGACGGGTATGACCCTTATGCCTCACTGGACAATGACATGGGGGACCAGAGCCATTACAAGGTCCCCTTCAATTACTGGAGGTCAGGCCTCTATCCCTGCCTTCGCAAGATTAGAATTGCCACAGCCCTTCTATACTTAAAGAAGGGAGGAGATGTCAGGGGCAGCCCTGCTTACACACTGAAGGCCTAAAAGCAGCCATAGGCCTAAAAGCAGCAATAGGCCTGTCATACATGTATACTAACACAAAGTCTTGGGTCTCTGTGGAAAAACATTGAAACAGAGGGCTATAAGCTATTGTAAACAGGCAGCTTTTGTGGAAATTTACCAGCCTGAGTAGTCATAGACCTTGTAAATAGGTAGCCTTGACAGATAATACCAACTTAGATAAGGACAAGTGAATCATAGGCAGAGTCATAGTGACCTGTCCCCTGAACCTTCACCCAGCTGATACCCTGTTCTGAAAGATATCTGTATTCCCCCTGAACACCCACGCTCTAGTGTCATCCCCTTCCCCACGTCCTGCCTTTTTGTGTTTATAACCCCTGTGTGAATAAGTAAAAATTACGATTTGATTTAAAAAATAAATAAAAATAAATAAATAAATAAAAAAGAAAACCTAAAAAAAAAAAAACCAAAAACAGTTTTCCTTCTAGAGAAGCTGTTACTACCTATCCCAGATATGTTAGTTACATAGTGTTTTCTTCGTCAGCCATCCAAAGCAGATAAATATTCAACTCTTCCCTCTGCGTTCCTTAATACAACACAGATAACTCGTAACTTAAAGGATGCCTTTCAGGACCTAATTCCTCAAACACCCTTGCTTTTTCTAGGACCATAAAAACAGATTATGATAAAACCTCCAAGCAAACTATTACAGGCTTAACACACACTTCCACCTGTGCAGACATACCCCTGCTGGGGATGGGCTCCTTTGTTATGATTACAGGTTTACCCCAGCGCTGCTACCACAGACCTGAAGTTGAGCCTGCCATCTCCTTGGATCTACCTGGGGCAGTGAAGCTGCCTTGTCCAGCAGACACATTAAGTGGCTCAGTAATCCCTTGTCTTCCTAGGCCCCCACTGTCACCCCTTTGGCTTATACTGTGCTTTATTTTGATGCTTCTATTCCATGCAAAATTTCACTACAAATAACACTAGACAGTCACTCCAATGACACCTTTTATTAAAAAGAAAGGAGAACTATGGGATGGTAAACCATGCCAGAAAGCTTGGTAAGGTAGAGCAGATCTGAGTCCCCAGAAACTTGGGGTACATACCTGCAATGGTAGGTGCCTCCCTGCTCCCTGCCTGGAACATGTGCCATACTTCCTATGTAAGGAACTACCTGCGGTCATGTAGGCCTAGAACAGAGGTCTCCATGCCAGTGAGGTTCCTAGAGACCCTGAGGGCTTAGCCAATAAGCTTCCCTTCCCAGACACTAATTACTCCCTTGCAAAAGGTATTTAATCTCAGGTCCACCCTGAGAAATTGGTACACATCTGTTTTCCATGATGAACGACCAATAAACAGTTTGGAACCAAGAATTGTCTCTTATTTACCATGGCCATGGGGAGCGTGGAGAAGGCCTTCCCTACCACCAAGCTAAAGTCAAGGACAGCTGAGCTAAGCCGGAGCTATCCCACCCCCATGGCCCACCGCCAGGGCCCTGTTCTCAGCTTGAGGGTCCCTTCAATTCTAGACTCCCAGCAGCACCTAGATGTCCCAGAGTCTGAGAACCACCACAGCCTGGCCCCAGCCTCATCACAGGCCCCCTCCACCCTCCATACTTTGTTCCTGACTTTCCTGTGCAGTTCTCCAGCAGCAACTGGAGGACCCCAAGTCAGGGAACACCGGCTTTAGGTTTTCCCACATCTTAGACTGCATTCCCCCTCACCCACCCAATGGTGTCTCAGTGCTTCTCTAAAGCCCAGAACCCGCCTAGGAAGTGCAGTCAAACTCCCCGTACTTTGCCTCCCCAGCCTCCAGGGAGGAATGAGGACCCACAAGACCCTGTCTCAAAACCAAATGAACAAGTAAATAAGAAAGAACAAAATAGTTTTCTGTTGTGGACCCTACTCTTCCACTGGTCTGTTTGTCTTTGCACTACTTCTAAGTCGCCTTAGTCACTGTATGTCCTATCACTTTTCTCCTCTGAAGATCTTTAGTCTTTTGCATTCCTTTTGAAGGCCAGAGTATGGGGAGCTGGCCCAATACCTGGCACTACCCTACAGGCCAGGCCTCATACAGGGGTCTGCCATCCTAGTTACTCAGAAAGCTGAGGCAGATGGCAAGCCCATGCTCTGCTGGGCAAGGTACACCCACTGGCTCAGGAGATACTCTGAATTTTGGCATCATATCTGGACGCTCACGTCCTGTTTAACAGTTCCTGTTTCATTGCTCACCAGCTTACTGGCTTTGCTAATTTTAAACTTCTTCATGTTTCTATTTACTATAAAATAAGAACAATAGCATCATTTAAATGTAAAAAGATCATGAGGTCATATGAGCAAAACTGTTTATATCTTATACAAATATAATAGAAAACTTTAGGAAATAAAGTGTAGAAATTCTAAGAAATAGATCCTTTTGTTTCACTGGAGTATAATACAGTCAATCAGTCTCATAAACTTAGACATCTCAAACAGAATACTGGGTCAACGACATGGCTCAGTGGCTAAAGGTGCTTGCCACAGTCATCTGATAACCTGAGTTCAATTCCTCGAACTAATGCACAGAGAACCACCTCCACAAAAGTCGACCTCTGACCTCCACATATGCCTTTCAGCATGCACATATTAGTGTTGAAAAAAATAGATAACCCAAAGTTGGAACTTCCCAGAGACATCTGATACAGTAATTAGCTGAAAGATAAAAAAAAATTCCTTACAGTCTTAATAAGATGTTATAGATGGCACCACAGCCAGACTTACCCTACAGGTAGAAAGTGATGTAGAGTCAGATGGAACTTTCTCTGTTCTTGGTAGAAATGTCTGCAGAGTAACAGCACCCATGGGATAAGAGCTGTGGGGCGGACCACACAAGCAAGGGCAACCAAGAGCAAGTACTTGACACTAGGAGCAAGGAAAGCTTGTTACAGGGACACTGGGAAATGGAGCTGGAAGTCAGTGAAGTGGCTGCCTTCACTGTGAGGCAAGAAGAAAGTGCAGACATTTAAGGAAATACTGTTATTTATGCAGTGATAGCCTTTTGTGCATATATGACCTTGTGAAGCAGAGAGGTAGCCGCTAGCCTAGTGGAAGTCCATCCAAGGCCTGGGTCTGACCCTGGCACCACTCACAAGAAGGAAAGTATTATATCTTTTCAAAATTTAAGTAAATTATACTCATCTGAAAGATGCACATGCACACATAGGTTGTGTATAAACATGTGAGGTGTGTAATCCCAGCACTCCAGAGACTGAAGCAGGTGGATCACGAGTCCAAGGTGAGAATCAGCAGTTTAGTGAGTCTCCCAAGTGTTGGGATTATAGTCATGAACCTCCATGCCCGGACAAGCTGTTTGTCTGTTATATAGCCCAGGATTACTTCAAACTTGCTATATACAAGAGGATGAATTTCAGCTTCTGATCCTCCTGTCTCTGTTTCCCATGTTGCCATTACAAAAGTATGCAACCACTATGCCCAGATAGGGTCATGACGTTTTAACAGATGTACCAAGGGTTTCTCAAGCTGAATGTTACATACAGAGAACGCTGAGCAATGGGTAGTGAGACCACAAATAGATAGGGCCTGGCTAGGTCTCATGGTGATAAAGGACCAAAAGGGGGAGTTAGAGACCTTAGGCTATGAAGCACAACAAAACGGCCTGTTCCCCAAACTGTCTTGGAGTCTACATCTCCTAATTATCTTACATGACTGAAATATTCTAGTTTTCTCCCAGGGTCAGGAGACCAAACTGAGAAGCCCATTTTCTGAATCCTTACTCTTCCCTTATAGTAGCCCCCATCATATTTACAGTAACTGGAATCTAATGTAGAAATAATCTTCTTAGTGGCCACCTTTAACCCCAGCACTTGGGAGGCAGAAGCAGGTTGCAGCCAGCCCGGTTTACATAGTGAGTTCCAGAACCAGAATAACCAGGATTACACAGTGAGGGCCTGTCTTAAAAAACAAACAAACAAACAAACAAACAACAACAGCAACAAAAACCCAAGAAAATTATCTTATCCAAAAGACCTTTATGCAGGAAGAGTGAGTGGACTCTAGCTTGTGTGCTTTGCAATCTTGTCTCTCTTCCACCCAACACAATCTTTTTTCTTTCTTTTTGAGGCAGGCTCTCTATGTGCTCCTGGCTATCCTGGAAATTTCTCCTTAGATGAAGCTGACCTCATACTCAGAGATGTTTGCTTTTTGCCTCCCTGAGTGCTGGGACTAAAGGTTTGTGCCAGAGTACCTAGCTTTCAGTACACTGATTGAAATCAGATTTGACTCTGATGATTTTCTGTGTGTAGACTAAAACCCAAGGTGTGAAGAAGGCCCTGGTCCATCCCAGCCTTACCCTTGCTCTCTCCTCCCTCCACTCACTTGCTCCCCACACCAGCAGCCTGGCATCTGCAGCTCTCTCACCCCCTTGCTTCCGCTCAGACCTTCCTTGATGCTTGATCTGGGTTTTTTGGGTTTTTTTGTTTTTGTTTTCCTTGCCTTTCATATCAGTTCAACCTGTTCACCCATGGTGGTCAGCAGACCTGTAGGAACACAAAGCCTACCTTGCTTCTGATTGCTTTAGGGAACCAGAAGGCAGTCATGGCATGAGTGGGGATTATTCTCCTGGCCAGCTCCTTGCCATTGCTAAAGGCTAGCCAGGCCAGTCTCCCATGGGGACCTTCAAATAGAGCTTTACAAAGATCCTGGTACTTTCTTCTGGTCTTTGGAGCCCACTGGTAATAGACTGCTACTTCAGTAAACTCTGGGTACCACAGGATTTCCTAAGCATTGTCTATTCTTTGTAACCACTCCTTTTAATAGATTCACCATATAGGGTAACTGTTTACTGTTATACTCATTGAAAAACCTTTGTTTCTTCTAAGTCCCATGAACGCTTGGTAGTCTACTGGACATGACATGTTGATACTTGGGGTTGTTAAAAGCACTTTTTAGACTTTTGTCTGCATTTATTAATAGTAATAGCCATCTCACCTGTTCACGGACCTCAAGCCTTCCAGAGGATAGTAGAAAAGGGCGATGGCAGTAAGGGCAGTCTCCGTGGTGTTTGTGAGAGTCCGGGTACAGCAGTACCACGTGAACCAGGAGCACAGCTGGCAGAAAAACTAATGAGTCAGCAGTGAGTAAGGCTGCAGTGGGAAGTGGGAAGCTAGGTGTTCATGGCTGTAAAAAGCTGTAGCCATGGCCACATACTGTTCTTAGCCCGTGCCACCCATGCTCCAATGCCAGGTTTGTATTTGTTATGCTTGCAGGGCTTTTGATGGTTTGCACTTGGCTAACTTTTACTTCTTGCTAATGAAATTCCCAAAGCACGGACACTAAGAGTAGAATTTATAGAATATTAAAACTTCTCACTAGATCATCGGGCCACTACTCCACCTCCTACCTCACAGTGGCCTGGAATCAGCTATCCTGAACATCTATGGACCTTGCTTTGGAAATGCTGCCCTGTTTCTTCTTCTTTCTCCTGCTCTTCTTCTTCATGTATATATATGGTCATAGTGCTTTCTTTCAGGGGCATACACACACACACACACACACACACACACACAAATATATAAATAATTTTGATTTCTATTTTTAAGGGTTAGGATTTTGCTAGAGCCACGGCTGACCTGGAAGTCTCTAGTCTTGAGCGAGCTAGTCAGTATCTGGTCCTTATTGTTTCTTTTCCCTTTTTCCTTTTTTGGCAAGGCTTCACACTTGTGAGGTCAGATATCCTGCAACTAAGCTATAGCCTTTGCCATGGCTCCCAGATTTTTTGGTGAAAAATTAAGAGAAGAGAGAAGGCGTATCAGGAGACATTTGGTTTCAGGTTGAAAACTAACTAAAAATCAGTTTTCCTGAAGAACATGGAAACAAAAGTGTCATTAGTCTACAAAACCACATCTTAGAAAGAACTCCTTGTTAAAGCAACGGGTGGCTTCCTGTTCTCCTACAAGGCCTTTTAAAAAGGTTCCAATATTCATGACAGAAAAGATTTTTTTCCTTAAGGAGAACTTGGAAGGAAGGTCTCAAAAGTGGGCTGGCATATTTGCTACCATTTCATGTGTACCTTTGGCAATGTATATAAAACATAAAAACAAAACAGACAGTTGCCATGGAGCTGTGTGTCTGAATCAACTAGCAAGAACATAATCACTAAACTCATTTTCTTTTTACAATGTAAAAAACAAAACAAACCAAGGAGCTAAGAGCACTTATGTGGACAGAGTCAAGTAAAGAAACAGTGGTTCTATCCAATCCAGTCACCCACTGGGGTGTAGCTTGACTTGGAGATGCAAGGATTGAAAACCCATCTTGAAATAAACCAGTTGGGGCATGCACATCTTTAACCCCAGCACCAGGAAGACTGAGGCAAATGGATCTCTTGTGAGTTTGAGGCCTGCCTGGTCTACATAGCGAGTTCCAGTTCCTTCAGGCACTCTATCTAGTGCTGTGCTTCCCTAGCTGGCTCCTGGGATTCAGCCTGTCCCATGTGGGGCTCAATCAGGAGATGGCATACACCATTCAGATTTTGCTGTTTCTAATTATGGAAGACACTCCAGGAAGTTCTGTGGATCAGCTATTTTAGGAAGCATTTACCCCACAAATGCTCTGTATCACACTGTGTCCACAGTGCTTGGACTCACCACCCATCGTGCCACTTCCTGATTTTCCAGCTGCTTCACGAGGGAGTAAAGCCTTACATCTGCTACAGCAGACAGAAGAGCTTGGCCAAGTCTGGGAATCCAGATCTTCATTAGTTAAAAAGAAAAAGGATTGTTAAGCAGATCTTCCTGGTTTATACTGAATTGCCATAAAAATAAAAAACCTAATCATTAAACAGAGAATCATCTCTCTGCCTCCAAGCATACCCACTCACATGCTCACATCCTCACATGCTTGTGTGGATGCTTAGTTTGCTGGCTCTCCCTCCGTCCCTCCGTCCCTCCGTCCCTCCCTCCCTCTTTCTCTTCTTCCCTCTGTCCATTCCTCCATCTATCCCAGCTGTCTTTTGGGACGGCTTTGTCATGTGGCCTAGCTGGCTTTGTCTTTGTTTTTCCTCCCTCAACACCAAGCATTGGGATTTACAGGTGTGAAGCCCCATACCCCATTTACCCATTTTTATATTTTTGTATATCTTACAACACTTAATTATTCACCTTTTGTAATAGTAGAGATTGAATCTATCTTTTTAGAAGCATGTTTATTTTCATGAGCATACAATAGCTTTTGTTTTTAAGTGAAGCATTTATAGTACTATATGCTGGGTATCCTAGCAAGTACTTTATCTGTATCAGCTCCCTCCTTACAGTAATCCTCCAAGGCAGGTGTTGTCTAATACATGAAGAGACCAAGGCACAAAGAGGTTACCTGATGTTCTCAAGGTTACAGAGCTTGTTAGCATTAATGCCTGGATTCTGACCAAGGTAGGCCTAACCCCACAACCTGTAGTCTTAACAATAAAAATTTAAAACTCCAGGGCTGGAGAGATGACTAGTGGCTAAGGGTGCCTGCTGCTCTTTCAGAGGTCCTGGGTTTATAACATTCCTAGCACCCAGGTCAGGCAGCTCCTAGCTACCTACCAGCCCCAGGGCATCTGAACCTTTCCTCTGGCCTCTGTCACCAACATGTCTTGTGTGTACCATGCACACAAACACTTTTTACTTTTTTAATTTTTTTTATTTTATTATTATTATTTTTTAATCAAGATGGCCTCAGACACCCAAAAGAGAAGACGTGATCCTGTGTAGAAATAAGCTGATCCTGAGCCTGTTTTTCTAGGCCCCACACAGCACCTCAGACTCAGACTCCCTTTGGAATACCGGGCTGCAGCTTTCTTTGACTAAAAAGAAACAATCCAGCTCCTAGGTCCAATGACAGCCTAACAGACCTCCAGGGCTGAGTGTACCTCAGTGGAAGCTGCTGGCACATCTGGGAACTTGGGTTTGGCTCCCTCTTGCCCTTCTCCCAGAGGGTCCTAAAACAAGAAGGTGAGACTCGACAGACCTGTCTCAGGCCCTGTGCACAGACTCCTCTGAAATGCTGCTGGCAATCTGTAGTCCAAGAATTAAGTCTTACTGCACAGTGATGATACATGCCATTCAGTTTTTGTCATATTTTCTTGCCAAATCCAAGGAACAAAAACAATGTAAAATAGTTATTCTGCTGTTTTTAAACCGAGTTCTGATAGACTTTCTCATTCACTTTAACTTCTCTATGCCTATGTCTGTGTGCACACGAGGATCCCAGAGGGTGCTTCTGTCTTTCCCTGACACTTGTTCCCTTTTAGGCAGGGGACTGACTGGGCACTGGGGACTGACCTGCCCTGGGGACTGAGTTTTTGAAGCACAACCAAGGATAATCTTGTCTCTACTTCCTCAGAGCTAAGGTCACAGTTGTTTGCAGGGACACAGCTAGCTTGTTTCACGGCGCTGGGATCTAACTCTGGTCTTCATAATTGTGGAGCATGGGCTCTTAACCTTGAGCTATCTCTCCAGCTCCTCCTTTTTATTTAAAATTTTATTTTACTTCTTTTTAAATATATTGAAGAGTTATACATCACTGGGCAGTGGTGGCACACGCCTTTAATCCCAGCACTTGGGAGGCAGAGGCAGGCGGATTTCTGAGTTCGAGGCCAGCCTAGTCTACAGAGTGAGTTCCAGGACAGCCCGGGCTATACAGAGAAACCCTGTCTCGAAAAACAAAACAAAACAAAAAACAAAAACAACAAACAAACAAACAAACAAACAAAAAAGAAGAGTTATACATCACAGTGTCTTTGGAAAGTAGGCCTCCCAGATAAGGCTGGACTTTAGCAACAATAGACTTTTAAAAACAAGTATTGTGGTACTAAGAAAGTCATTCAGTTTTTACCAGTTAACTTCTGAAAAGGGAATAAATCTGGATTTAACAACAATTTTGGTCATTTTAATTTAAACTTACCAGTAATTGAACACTGTCTTTCCCTAGAAGATGCAGACTCTTATAAATGCTTGCAAAGATTAGGGGATAAGTGTAACCTCTCAATTTCTCTGTCCATTCCCAGGTCAAATAACCATAATTATTAATATTAAGGATTAAATGTCAAATAGTATTGAAACAAATTGCTCTTCTTTGACAATGAAGTCTGTCTGTTTGAGACAGGATTCATCCATGTAGCTGTGACTATCCTGGAACTTGCTCTGTAGATTAGGCTGGCCTCAAACTCAGAGATCCACCTGCCTTAGCCTCTCAAGTGCTAGGATTAAAGGCATGCCCTACCACCACCACCCAGTTTTTTTTTTTTTTTAATAACTTATTTTATGTGCATTAGTGTTTTATCTGCTATGTATGTCTGTGTGAGGTTGTCAGATCTTAGAGTTACAGACAGTTGTATGCTGTCATATGGCTGCTGAAAACTGAACCTCAGCCCTTTGGATAAAGCAGTCAGTGCTCTTAACCACTGGGCCATCTCTCCAGCCCCGAGACAGAGCTTTTTATTGCCTGTTTGGATAACTAAAGTCTTAATTTCTTCAAGTTAGTAGAGATGTGTTTCTCATTTTATATATATATATATATATATATATATATATATATATATATATATATGGTGTATTGTGTGTGGCTGTGCATGATATGTATGTTGATACAAGTCAGAGGACAACTCTATACAAGTCAGAGGACAACTCTATACAAGTCAGAGGACAACTCTATAGAGTTGGTTCTCTTTTCATTTAAAAAATTTTATGTGTATGTGCATGCACATGTATGTTCTGTGCACCATGCACATACCTTGTGCACATGGAGGCCAGAAGAGGGCATCAAATCCCCTAGAACCAGGATAGTTATAAGCCTCCATGTGGGTGCTGGGAATTGAACTCTGATCCTCTAGAAGAGCCTGGTCCTCAGTAGTTCAGAGCAGCTCTAATCACTGAGCAATCTTTCCAGCCCCTCTATCTACCCTTATATGAGTCTTAGGGACAGGACTAAGGTGGCCATGTTCACATGCTTTTATTAGCTAAGCCACCTCAATGATCCAGGTTTGTTTTGAAACAACTAAATCAGGCTATCCTTGAATTTACAATCCTGCTGCTTCAGCCTCCCAAATGCTGGGAGGGATTGAGTTTTTTTTACTTTATCTATAACCTCTGACTCCAAACATTGTAGGTGTATATATTAATTTAAAGGCAGTATCAAGTCTTTTTTGTTCTTTTGTTGTTGGTGTTTTGTCTGTTATTTTTTGAGGTAGGGTTTCTCTGCCTGCTGTTGACTCCTGGGAGCTGGGATTAAAGGCGTGTGCCACCATGCCTAAGTTTTCTTTGTGTGTTTTTTTTTCTTTCTCTTTTGCCTTGTCAAATCTGTGTCAAAGGAAGCCATACAATAAATAATCAGTATACAACAACAGCATACTTGGTTGAACTGAAATTATTCAAAGAAAAACTGAAAACATAATCATGAACTGAGCTCCTAAGATGAATACATACTCAGTGGAAAAGAAACCATAAAGGATATCTGAAAACCATGTGGTGCGCAACTTCGAGAGACTGCCAGTATTCATCAGGAACAAAACTGGTCTGGACTAAGAAGCAGTTACATACTCGCAGAGCAATGGTAAATAAGACCAGGTAAATGTTTTCTCCAAGAAGACCTGAAAAGCAAATCAAAGCAGTAATTGTGGCATAAACTTAGCTTCCCCTACAATTCCACGTGTGGTGCTCTGGCTCCCGCTCTGTTAAAAAAAAAAACAAAACTCTACAGCACTCCACAAAAGTCATCTTGCTAATTGAGTACTGACCCGGCTGTGGAGTTAGCTCAGGGGTGGGACTCTTGTCTAGTCTGCTCCAGGCCCTGGAGTGTGGTCCCTAAGCAATGTGTAGGGAATGGAAAACAACCCTCGAACACCTCCCACAACCACAAAAAGAGATACAAATCCCACTAGGGATCATGAAAACACACACACACACACACACACACACACACACACACACGCAATCTGTTAACCGCTGATGAGTCTGAACCTCAGTCTTACATGTGAGGAGGTTCGGAAACTGCTTTGCCCAACACAAAACTGCTGTTACTGACTAGGTAGTTGGCTGGCTGTCTCCAAAGTTTGCTTTTCCCAGTATGCGGGCAGCCTGTATGCTGAATGCAGAGTATTTTCTACTTTAGCTGCCAACAGTGGTGGTGGATTATATTTTACGTTAAAATCTGGGTATGCCAGGTGTGACGGTGTGCCATCACCACACGGCACTGGGGAGACTGAGGCAGGAGGATTGAGGCAAGTTAGTCCAAGCACAGTTAGCACAACACAGCGAAGATACTGCCCAGCGAGCCTGAGCTCATTTCCACCATGCTGTGTAGTCCCAGGTGCCCTGTGCTCTGCAGTGAGCCCAGCACTCACCACGGCGCCGAGAGCGCTTCCCCTGCGCGCTCACGTACTGCGTGGACTTCCTCTTCCGCAGCTTCATCTCTCCAGAGCTGCTGTGGAGATTGCGGAAGGCCAGGCTGTGGTCGCGGGCCTCGGGGTCCATCCTCTCCCGGATACCTGGAGCCCACTGTGCCCGCCCCTCACTTTCTAGTAGGCGGACTCATGTCACTAAGATTGGACCCCGCGAGCCGCCGTCGCTTAGTTGCTCTGACACAACCGCAGCAGGAAGTGCTACCGGAAGCTGCTGTGCCTCCGGTTGGGTCAGGAGCAAATCTCCCTGACTGAGGTTCAAGGCTGAAAAAGACAAAAATAAAGACCCTGGATGCTTTACTGCGCCTGACACACCTCGCACAGCGCCCGCCGAGGAGGCGCTCGGAGGTAACAGAGCAAAGGGAGGCAGTGCATCGCTGAGAACCAGCTCCCGGGTGACCACGGTGCTCACCCCTCATGCCACGTTCTCGCGTGGAAAGTTTCATCAGGGTTCTTACAATGACAAAAAAATTATAATTCAGTGAATTTTTATTACCTGTTCTCCACCACCCCAGTGGATTTCTCTATCCCTAATTATCTACTTTCTCATCAACTTATTATTTTCTTGAGTCGATCTCACTATGTAGATTAGACTGGCCTTGAACTCGAAAGAACTACTGTCTCTGCATCATGAGTGTTGGGATTTAAAGTGTGAGCCACCACACTCTGTTCCCTCTATATTTGTGACAGGGCCACATACTTATATAACCCTGGCAGGCCTGAAACTTGCTCTGTAGACCAGGCTGACCTCAAACTCTTGCCTCTGTCTCATGAGTGTTGGGATGAAAAGCATGTGCTTCCATGACCAGCAATCAAGGCATTTAAAAAATTAGTTGGTGGGGGCTGAAGAAATGACGCAGGGCTTAAAAACACCGACTGCATTTGAAAAATACCTTGGTTTGATTCCCAGGACCCATATACTGGCCCCATCTCTCCGAGGGTACCAGGCAAGCTGTTGCAGATACATTTATGAAGATGAATACTCATATACATAAAGTAAATTTTTAAAAAAAATGCCTTGGTGGAATAGTGAGTTACACAATAAAGTGGGGAAGTCTATGCTTCAGGTCTCAGATGCCCTCTGATAACAGTCTTAGCTTTTGGGTTGGTGGAAGGGAGGGGCCTGTTACTGCATCCTAGGATTTTACCCATTAGTTATAAAGATGTTTGTTCACACACAGATAGGTGAAAAAATTACTCTGGGACTAAAGGTAATTTGGCTTGGAGCCTGCAGCTTTCTGGCTCTACATAGTTCTAATCAGTCAACTAGTCCTTTAGAATGTTGAACAAAAGTGTTTTGTTTTTTGTTTGCCCTGGAAACAGCTTTTCATGGAAAAAAAAAAAGTCCTGCTGAGCAAACAGGTTCAAAAGACTCAGATTTAAGCTGCACAGAGAAACCCTGTTTCGAAAAAACAAAAACAAACCCTCAGATTTAAAAAAACAAAACTAAACTGCAACAGTAACACTCTACAGTTCCAAATGGCTTCTGGCTTTTGTACCCTTTTGTTTGTTTGTTTGTTTGTTTGTTTGTTGTTTGTTTTAAAACTCTTAGCCATTTAACCAAAGCAAGATTGGTAAAATTGTCATTTGTGTGGTCAACTGTATAATCCAGGGCAAGCTACTTACAGTACAGGAGCTGATGATTTTTCTGACCTGGGGCTTGGATTAAGAATCCATGCCGTCTGTAGTCCAGAAATCGTGTGGCTTCTTTACTCTGCTTTCCTCATTCACAGTGTCTGACCTAGATGTTAAGGGGTGACGAGCAGCTCTGTTTTCTAGAAAGTGCTATGTTTATTTGTCACTTTCTACTATTTTCAGTTGTTGGAAGAAGCAGCAAAATCTCCTTTCTCCCCTATTATTTTCAAATAAGGCATCCAAATGATTTGTATTTGATTTCTCATAAAATATCAAAAGAACTTAACATAGTTTTTTGTTATTGTTGTTTGTTTGTTTGTTTTTTGCTTTTTTGAGATAGGGTCTTAATATATATCCTTGGCTGCCTTGGAACTCACTCTGTAGACCAGGCTGGCCTCAAATTCGCAGAGCTCTTCCTGCCTCTACCCACACCTGGTGCTGGGATTTAAATCCTGCGCCACCACACCTGGCTCAGTAAAGTTTTATAGCCTGTTAAAAATCATTTTTGTCATACAGCTTGCTTAAAAAATAAGGCTACTGCAGAAGGAATGGTGAAGTCACTTGTCTGCTCTCTCTATTATTCATTAGATGAAGTTTAAACTGAGACACTCTTTTTTCTTTTCTTTTTTTTTTTTTTTTTTTTTTTTTTTGAGACAGGGTTTCTCTGTGTAGCCCTGGCTGTCTTGGAACTCACTCTGTAGACCAGGCTAGCCTCGAACTCTTGAACTCAGAAATCCGCCTGCCTCTGCCTCCCAAGTGCTGGGATTAAAGGCGTGCGCCATCACCGCCCGGCAAACTGAGACACTCAATTCTGGGTTCCTTCCGGGCACCTTTTGGAATAAAAAGTATTGAATGACACGAAAGGTCATAGGCCATCCCTTCCCCTCCTTTTGCTATTCTGAAAGTTACCAGTTTAAACACACTGAGAAGACTTCCATGTTAGTGGCACATGGCTGTCATCCTAGCGCTGGGGAGGTGAAGGCAGAATTGTAATTTAGAGCAGCTTGCCTGTCATAGACAACCAGAACAAACAGGCAAACACACACACACAATAACTCACCGGGAACGTTTTGTAATAGGAGAGGATGCATCTCTGTCTCACAGAACCTCCAACTTTCATTCCCTATAGGTTCCTTTTTGGGGTTTTGTTGACTTGTTTGGTTCTTCGTTTGAGACCTGTTATGTGTGGAATCCAGACTGGCCTCATACTGCCAGCGCAGCTGAAGGGCGGCCTTGAATTCCTGATCCTCTTGCCTGGACCCAAGTGTTGGGAATAACGAGCATGTGCTACCATGCCTGGAAGAAATACCAATTTTAACCTAAAATATGATTTTTTTTTCTTTTTGGTTTTTCGAGACAGGGTTTCTCTGTGTAACCCTGGCTGTCCTGGAACTCACTCTGTAGACCAGGCTGGCCTCGAACTCAGAAATCCACCTGTCTCTGTCTCCCTAGGGCTGGGATCAAAGGCGTGCGCCACCACCGCCCGGCAAAATATGATTTTTAACTACTGACAACTAATATGAAATTTTAGAAAATATTCATAGTAAGCCTATGTGTTGTCATGCAGCCCCTATGTATTTGTATCTATTAGTTAGTGATCGTTAAATATTACAAAAATATTCATGCCACAGGAAAGTAGCAACAAATTTTCTAAAGGCAATTGCAGGGCTGGTGACATGGCCCTGGAGTTAAGAGTGAAGTGCTATTCTAGAGGACCTGGGTTCAGTTCCCAGCACCTGTGGTAGATTACTACTGCCTGGAACATCTGCTCCAGGGGCACTGACACTTTCCAGCCTCCACAGGCTCCTGCACTCAGGCACACACATCTTCCCATACCCCCATAATTTAAAACAAAATTGTTTCTAAAAGGCTGCTGTACTAAGTGGTCCAATTCTTTTTTTGTCCCTTTTCCTTGGAAACAGGTCTGAAGAGGTTTGCTGCCTGTGGAGCATAGCCACCTTCAGAGTGTGTGGTACTTGGCCACCGCAATGCATGGGAGATTGCCGCTTCCACAGCTGCTCTTTGCTGCCGTCCTTGGAATTGCTGGAGGGATGTATATTTATCAGCCAATATTTGAACAATATTCCAGAGATCAGAAGGAATTAAAAGAAAAGGTGAAATTGTTGCAAGAATCAGAAGAAAAGAGGAGCTAATTATGCATAAACTGAAATTGTAGACATTGCTTAAAGTGATATTGAAATAATATATGGACTACTAACTAATCTAGTAAGAATTTAGGTGTGTTTTAAATAAATAAATCATGGGTAATGGATCTAAGTTATTTATAAAAGTAGTTCTTTATTGGTTTGTTTCAGGGCAAGAACTCACTATGTAGCTCAGCCTGGCCTCAAGCTCTAAGCCGTCCAACCTTAGCTTTCTGGCATTTGTTTTATAGACAGAATCTGTCTCTGTAGCCCAGGCTGGCTTCAAACTAGCAATCCTGCCACTGGTGTTGGGATTACAGAGTATCACCATATCTATCACAAAATAAGATGCTTCATTAAAAAAAAAATACTTTTTAGTTATATATAATTGAGTGTGCACTTCTTGTGGGTTATGTACCTGAGTGCAAGCGCCTGTGAGGCCAAAGTTGTCTCCTAGAGCTGGAGTCACAGATGGTTGTTAGCTGCCATGTGGATCCTAGGAACTGAATCCAGGTCCTCGGCAAGAGCAACACACTCTTAAATGTTGAGCTATCTCTCCAGCCCCAAGGTGTTCCACTTTAATATTCACTTATGTATTTGCTATCTTGTGTCTTCTTTTCAGAATGGGGCAGCAATTTCCTACTTCATAAATTAATTTAGCATGTTTAACAATTTAGTGTGTACTTTTAAGATTCCCCTTTTCTGAGCTGGAGAAATGGCTCAGCAGTTAAGAGCACAGGCTGCTCTTTCAGAGGTCCTGAGTTCAATTCCCAGCACCCAATTGATGGCCTACAACTGAAGTCCCATGGGATCTGGCGGTCTCCTAGTGTGCAGGTAGATGTACATGCAGGCAGAACATCCATATACATTAAATAATTCTTAATTCCCTCACTCTTGTTCAGTAAAACCACACAAATGTGAGAGGTTTGTTATGTTATATTTTTCCAGTTTTAGAAACTGAACCCAGGGCTCCCTGATGCCCTGACCTATGCCCCAAGCTTTCTTCTTGCTTTCTAAAATCTTTTTTTAAAATTTTTATTGTATGTACACTGTAGCTGACTTCAGACACACCAGTAAAGGGCATCAGATCCCATTACAGATGGTTGTAAGCCACCATTTGATTGCTGGGAACTGAACTCAGAACCTCTGGAAGAGCAGTCAGTGCTCTTAACAGCTGACCCATCTCTCCAGCCCCACTTTCTAAAATCTTTAAAGGCTTTATTTCGTAAATTTACATGTACAAGTGTTTGCCTGTACATATCTATATGTACCATGTACATGTTTGGTGTCTGTGAAGATCAAAAGAGGAGATTTGATCCCCTGGGTTTAGAGATGGTTGTAAGCTGCCCTATAGGTGCTGAACTAATCCTCCATCCTCTGAAAGAGTAGTCAATGTTCTGATCACTGAGCCATCTCTCCAGCACTCTTTGAATTTTAAATGTCACTGAGTTGCCCAGGCTCACATTGAATTCACTCAGTACCCCAGACAGGACTTGAACTTGTGATTATCCTTCCTTATTCTCTGGAGTACCTGGAACCACAGGCCATTGCCATCAGGGTTGGCTTTTATCTTTTCCTCGTCATGTAATCCATGATGGCCTTAAACTCAAATGTAGCTCAAGCTGGCATCAAACTTGTCATCTTGCTTCAGCCTTCCAAGTGCTTGGATTGAATTTGTGTACCACCATAGCTAGTTTGAAAATTGTTATTCAGATGCCAAGATCCCACTTGACAGAAGCTCTTTGAATATTAGGATTCTGGTATGTGTAATCTTTTCATTCTGGGATCCAGGCCCATGGAACAGACTTTATCTGGGCTGTGACAAGGGAGAGACAGACATAGAGACATACTCAGGACTTTGAATTGTGTGCTTCTGGTCAGGTATAGCAAATGGGTATGGAACATTTTTTTCATCGTTTGTTGGTTTAGAGTATGTTACATGATCTCAGACCAGGCTGAGACATGAACTCTTGGAACCAGATGCATAGTCAAGTCTCAGAGCATGGCTGAAGCCCTAGGTTTCAGGACCAGCTTCTACACTCTTGGTGAAGTGATGCAGTTGTGTAATCCCAGCATTCAGGTGGAAGCAGGAGGATCAGAAGTACCAACCATTGCTAATGACAATGTTGTTCCCCAATATAGTTCATATACCTTCTTCACCCCCAAAAGTTTGTGTGTAGGAAGCATGATCCTCAGTGTGATGTTATTGAAAGGTGACAGCTCGGGCTGGAGAGATGGCTCAGTGGTTAAGAGCACTGCCTGCACTTCCTGAGGTCCTGAGTTCAAATCCCAGCAACCACATGGTGGCTCACAACCATCTGTAATGAGATCTGGTGCCCTCTTGTGGGGTGTCTGAAGACAGCTACAGTGTATTCATATATAATAAATAAATAAATCTTTAAAAAAAAAAAAAAAAAAAGAAAGGTGACAGCTCCTTAAGAGCTAGTGCCTGAAGGAAGATGGTTGCCTTGCTTTTCCTGGGAAGGCTATTTCTCTTAACCCCTGATAGAACAATAGAAAAGATTCTGTTCAGGTCCAGTTTATTGGGATTGCTTACAGAAGTGTGGGTGACTCCAGTAGCTGCCATACACAGGAAGCTCCCTGGACATAGTTGAGAAACTGACTGCACTGTGGTGTGGTCCCAGTAGCTACAAACTGGGGTGGGGGTGTGATTGTGTGGGCAGGTGGATGGGACAGCTGGACAGCTGGAGTTTGTGGTAGCAGGGCTTAGGGCTGAGTGAAACTGCATGGACAGAAGCTTAACCCAAGCTTCTCAGCATTTTGCTTGTCTTGGAAGTGGAATTCGGAAAGGGCAGGGCAGGCCCAAAGGCCAGTGTTAAGCTCGGAACCACCTTTGGATGGATTTGGCTAATAATGTCATCCATTCCCAGGTTGAGACCCTGACTGCTCACAGAAAACCCTAGGCATCGATAGAAGGCCGCTAGGAGGCAATGGAGGTTCACAAGATGCTCCTGACCCTGGCAGGTCTTTAGTATGTTATGCCACCCCATGATTTCCCCTTATTTGTGTGCATTAACTGCTCTAACAGTTTTTTAGGACTTCAAGGTGAATGTAATCGAGGTAGATTTGTGTGCGTATAGACTCTGCTGGCCATTGCCTTCCAGGATGGTGTTTATTTTCTTCTGACTGAATCGTACCTATTTTTCTCGTTGTCGGGTTTAGGAACCCCAGTAGACCATGCCCAGGCTCTCTCCAGCGAGGGTGCACAGCCATGAAAAAGCTTTTAGGACAGACCTTTGGAGTCCCCAGGGCCTTCCCCGGATCCTGGGGCAATTTGAGCTCTTTGTGCTTGACACACTTGGTCTCAACGAAAACCACCCCCTGTGGTTCTCACACCTTACAGAAGGGGCGAGGAGACCCGTTCTGTGCCAGGCGAGGAGAGCAGTTGTTGGCTGGGGGCTTGCGGCCAGGTGACAGGAGGCGGAGGTAGAGGCGTCTTAGGGCCCGCCCCCACCGCGCTCTCCTCTACGGGAAGTGATGTGGGGCCGGACGGAAAATAGCGCCAAGCACCCAAAAAAGGGCAGTTGCTCGGGGTCCTCAGCTCCTTTTGGAAGGGAGTACCTAAGGGATAGAGCGCGGTGGGGACGCAGCACGTTGGGAATCTAGCAGCAACAACGCGGAGACAGCATCGTACAGAGCACCAAACCGGGTGAGCACTCTGCGTCTTGAGCGCTGCAGGTTGCAGGCGAGCAAGCCGGCCCCGGGGCTACCAGGGACATGGGACAGATCTTCGGAAGGGATACTGGTTCTCTGGAGTTCCAGGGGCTGGAGTCCAAGGTTATCCCAGGTGGTATCTAGATACTAGAGTCCCTTTAATGAGGGGGAGGAAAGATAAGTCTGCCCACCGCTCTTGTCTTCCCTCGCTTGGGTTTTGACTTTAAAAGTCTTCAGAGTCCTGCTGCTTGCAGGCAAGAAAGGACTCTCCCTTTTCCTGTCATTCAGAGAACCCAGCTGGTCAGCCTGGTCTTAGAGTAGTCACCCTATCGGAGGTAGAATTGATGCGTTGACATATTTTGCCAAGACCCGGTCTCTGGCCCAGTAGCTGGGTACCGATTTGGAAAGCCAGCTCTGAAATGTAGGAGATTTTGAGGCGTCTCAGCAGCCCCCTGACCTTTGTACCTTGCTGTTGTCTGGAGTAGGCTTCTCTTTCAAGCCTAAGGACTAACAGCTGTTCTGCCTTAGCTGTTCAGCCCAGCTGCATGAGGAAGGCAGGAGACATTTCGTATTCGTTTCTTAAATAAAGCTCTCTGTAGAGTGAAACTAGCATGGGAAAGGGAATCCCTACATTTGGAAGGTGGACAGAGAAGGATCCAGGGTTCAAGGTCAGCCTTTGCTACATAGTGAGCTTGAGATCAGCCTGGGTTACAGGAGGCTCTGTCTCAAAAAACAAACAACACCAGCAAAAAGAAAGGGAGGCCTGGTGGGGCTGAGGTGGGGGGTAGGGGTGGGGAGGGGGGTGGGGTGGTGTTACAGCAGTGCTGAACACACCAGAATGGGAATTGCTTTCTTATTTTACCTTGGTCTTCCTGCCCTCAACACTATCTTGTTTCCTCTCCATAATGGGTCTTAATTTTTTTGTTGTTTATTTCACACACACACACACACACACACACACGCACACGCACACGCGCGCGCATGTACGTACAGGCCCATGCATGTGTGTATAGAACACAGAAGTCAATGTTAAATGTCTTCCTCCATCACTATCCACTATTAGTCTTTTTGTTTTTGAAATGGAGGCCTCACTGTGTAGCTCTGGCTGGCCTGAAAATCACTATGTAGACCAGGCTGATCTTGAACTTACAGAGATCTACCTGCCTCTGCTTCCAAAGCGATGTCTGGATTATTTAGCCCATGAAGCGTTTAAACCAGGGAGTGCCAGGCCTTCAAGTTTGCCTCCCCCCATCCCCCACGTGCCTTTTAACTTTTAAGATTGCAAAGTCCCTTGTATCTCTGTGTGGAATTTATGGCCAGCTTCTCAATTCTGTTGCCTTGACTTTAGAGCACACACAGGCATTTTGAAGTGGGAAGCTGTCTTTGGGAACCAGACTTAACTTCCTTTCCTGATATCTGTTTTCCCCATCTTAGTAAAGAAATTCCACTCTTAGAGAATCCTAGACTAAACACTCCAGAATCACCCTCAGTTCTCTTCATTCATCCATGTCTCTTGCCCAACCTGAACACATTTTATTGAATTTAACTTGAGAATAACCAAATATTATTTTGGTTTAAGAACTTTTTAAGTGGCTAGAGAAATGGCTCTGTAATTTAGAGCACATGCTGCTCTTCCTGAGGACTCAGGCTTGGTTCCTAGCACCCATATCAAGCAACTCACAACTGTCTGTAACTCTGACTTCAGAGAATCCAGTACTTTCTTCTGGACTCTGCCAGTATTGTACTCATTTGCACACAAAAAACCAAACACACACACACTTAAAAATTAATAAACTGTGTAAAATTTACATTTACTGAATGAGCTGGTTTAGTGACTTAGGAGTCCTTGCTGCCTTTGCAGAGGACCTAGGTTTAGTTCCCAGCACCCACATGGCAGCTCATTAACACTTAGTAATTTCAGTTCCAGGGGACTGGATTCCCTCCTCCGGCCTCTGAAAGCACTGCACACATGTGCTGCATGTATATACGTGTAAGCAAAATATTCATACACATGAAATAAAAATAGATCTTTTGTAAATGCTACATTTATTTATCCTTTGTGTATGGTATGTGTATGGGAGGTCAGAGAATGACTTAGAGGAGTTGGTTCTTCCACCATGTGAATCCAGGGATTGAACTCAGGTTGTATGGCTTGGTGGTAACTACTGAGATATCTTGCCTACTCATTTTTGGGGGGTGAGGTGGAGAAGGGTGTGGTAGCTGAAACATGACCATTATATATCCCAGGATAGCTTGGAACCCAGTGTATAGCCTAGGCCTCAGCTCCCTGAATGGGATTACAGATGTGCCCTATACCTGCCCATAATCACATCTGCTATAATAACCACTTCTCCACTGTTTGCACCCATTCCTACTACCTTCTGTAGCTCTGTGCCTGCCAAAGCTCTTAAAGCACTTCCAACCTTGTTCTTACATCCCTATAATCTTCCCTCAACTCAGAGATCACCATACACATACACACACACACATACACACACACACACACACACACACACACATATGCACATACACACATACACATACACACACACACATATGCACATACACATACACACATACACACACATACACACACATATACACACACATACACATATACACACACATATGCACATACACACACACATACACACACATACACATATACACACACATACACATATACACACACATACACACACACATACACATATACTTACTCTGAATTCTACTTTTTTACTTTTTTCTAAGATGAGAAAGGTAATGGCATATATACTTTTAATCCTAGCACTCATGGAGCAGAGGCAGGCAGATAGATCTCTGTGAGTTCAAGGGCAGCTGAGTTTACAGAGCTAATTCCAGGACAGCCAGGGTTACACAGAGAAACTCTGTCAAAAGAGAAAAAGAAGAAGGAGGAGAAGAAGAGGAGGAGGAGGGGAGAAGAGGAAGAAGAGGAGGAAAAGAAAGAGAGAGAAAGAAGAAGGAAGGAAAGAAAGAAGGAAAGAGAAAAACAAAGTTTTCGTTGTGGCAGCTGAAACTCCGAGATGTCAGCATTCTTGCTTGCTTTGTTCCCATGATTCAGGATCCCCTGATTGCCATTACTTTGCCTCAAATGCTCTTCACTGGCCTCACTTGTCTTAGACAGGCCCTCTTACCGATGTGCTACCCCATTTGAAATAGCAACCCCACTTTTTCCTACTCCTCTCTCTACCTGTCCTCTTCCCTTTGTAGTGCTGGGATCAGCACAGAGGAGCACCCACTATGAGGGCCAGGATCAGGCTCATTCACTATTGTGTCCATCGCACTCAGGGTTATTAAGTTGTTATTATTAAGGGGCTGGAGAGATGGCTCACCACTTAGGAGCATTCAGAGGACAAGGTGCGATTCCCAGGACCCACATGGTAGCTTGCAACTACCCATAACTCCAATTTCAGGGGCCCTGATACTCTCTTCAGGCACCAAGGCAGGAGGATCAGAAATTCAGGGTTATCCTTGGCTACCTAAAGAATTCCAGGCCAGCCTGCAGAACAAGCTTATAAAGGACAGAAGGCTGAGTAGTAACGGCTCTGCTGGTTTCCCTCACCATTCCTTCCACACTCCCCCACCCGTCTTGTGATGGTGGCAGCAGGCAGCCCTCCCTCTGCCATGGCACTGAGAAAATTAGGCAGAGCGGTTTAGTAGCTTACCTATCTTCTGGCCTCATGTTAGTCTAGGGCAAGAGTGGAGTTCTCGGAAATAGAAAGACATGGACATTAATTTCTTCATGAATATTTTGCACTATAACGAACGGACCTTTCTGTGGCTTCTAACAGAAATGGCCAACTGTTGGCACCTAATTATGTAACTACTTTCAGTTGGCAGCTGTTTTTCTGTGTCTTGGCCCATTTCCATGACTACACCCTTTCATTCTTGGGGCTTGAACTCAGGGCCTGGCATATGCTAGGCAAGTGCTCTCCCAATCACTGAGCCACTCCCCCAGCCCACCATTGATTAGATCCCCTCAGCCTGGAAACAGAGTACCACTCTTGCTCATTTTGAATCTTATTTTGTAAGGAGTCAAGAGGCAAAATCAAGTGTAAGACTGTGGCTGAATGCGCACTTGATTACTGGATAAAACTCCAGGACCATCTATCTAGTCCAATGGTTCTCAACCTCCCTAACGCTTCGAGCCTTTAATACAGTTCCTCATGTTGTGGTGACCCCAATCATAAAATTATTTTCATTGCTACTTCATAAGTAATCTTGACAGGACAGACAGGGCTACACAGAGAAACCCTGTCTCTAAAAACCAAAAAAAAAAAAAAAAAGTAATTTTGATCCTGTAGTGAATCATAATATAAATGCCTGTGTTTTCAAATTGTCTTAGGCAACCCCTGATCATTTGACCCTCCAAAGAGGTTGAGACCCAAAGGTTGAGAAGCAACAATTAAGTCCGTATTTTCTCCTTTTCTTTCTTCTTTTTTTCTTTTTCGAGACAAGGTTTCTCTGTATAGTCCTGGCTGTCCTGGAACTCACTCTGTACACCAGGCTGGCTTTGAACTCAGAAATCTCCCTGCCTCTGAAGTCCATATTTTCTTAGTAGGCATCTTTATAGATCACCATACCCTACTACCTCCTACTGAATGGGGCTTCCCACTGAATGAGGAATCAGAGACTTCCCAGTGAAAATTGAACTAATTTGGCCTATAAAGTATGATAACTAATTTTATGTGTTACTCTTTTTCTCTCTCTTTCCTTCCCTCCCTCCCACCTTCCCTCCTACCTTCCTTCCCTCCCTCCCTCCCTCCCTCCCTCCCTCTCTCTCTCTTTCTTTCTTTCTCTCTTTCTTTCTGGGACTGAAGCTCAAGGCTTTCTAAATGCTAGGGGAGTACTTGGCCACAGAGCTATTCTCTCTCTCTCTCTCTCTCTCTCTCTCTCTCTCTCTCTCTCTCTCTCTCTCTCTCTGTCTGTCTGTCTTTTTTTCCGAGACAGGGTTTTTCTGTGTAGTCCTGGCTG